TGGATATTCTTTTTACACGCCTAACCATAAACCACTGATAATGTCTACCAAAAGGCCAAAATGTTATATTTTAATATTTTTCGGGAAAGGACAGTTATGTACATCAACGTAAACAGCATCAAACACTGTGATCTATTTGTTCTTTTATCTCTGGCATTGAGCAATTTCGAACGGGAAGTTTAGTCCTAACGTGATTTGCATATATCAAACTTTTGCTGTGTTCTTACGCAACAAAAGTACCATTTCAGTTCTAAAAAATCTATCCTGAGCTATACGTTCGGTAGATTACTTTTTTTTGAGTTTCACTATATTTAATAGTTACCTGTGGTTTTGCCTCAGCTTACTATTCGGTTTTTTTTGTTTTTCACGTATAGACTAGTTTCAGTTTATATCACTCGTTTTGTCCGTTTTTGTCCGTTTTCAGTGTGCATTTTAGTGTTTTTTTTAAAAGGTCTTAGGCTTTGCCAGCATCTATAACATAGTTTGCTTCAACACCGTCATGAAAAACTCATGCAAACGTCCGGGATGCCGTTTTGCTGTCACAACTGGCATGCAGTGTGACAACTGCAAAGGTTGGTTTCACGAAGCATGCACAAATCTGACAGCAACTGCTTACAACAAACTCAGCAAGTCAGACCAAAAGTGGGTATGTGTCACGTGCAACACGGACGCAGTAGTCTTGCTGAGTAACATCATTGTCCTACTGACAGGTCTTCGAAACAAGCTGTCAGTTAACTTGGAATACGACAGTAAAAAAACCGATATACAAACAAGAGCGCGCAACGGACTCAAAAATAGGGATGTCGATAGGTATGTCATCGATGGAGCATCCATCAACACTAACGACGACGTGTCGAGGCTCAGTACCATCATTACGTCGACGGTACTAGACTCCCTAGGCAAACTCGGGTCTCCCAGCTCAGGGTCGCTGAACACAACAGTGGTTCCCAAAAACCCTGCAGGCGATTCGACCCACGTTAAGAGAGCCCAAAAGAACCAGGCATCACCGCCTAAGCCGAGCAACCCAAGTGTTGCTGCACGGAAAATAACTGGTGATTTAGTCGCACAGTCTACCCCCAAGACTGTTCGTCCGGTCAATAAAGAGCCCAAGATTCATAAACGCACACTGACCTCCAAAAAACAAGTTATTAAACCTGAACCCATCGTGAAACCTGGTAAATTAACAACAGTTCGTGACGATTCTCTCATTATCATGAACCTCGTCGACAATCCTGACCTTCCTCTCAGTCTGCAGGATAAAAACGACAGGATGCTGTGGGGTGAATTGAACAAAAAGCTCGAACTTCCTAGAATAGAGCCTTTGACGGTCACCCGGCTCACTCGAGGAAAGGATTCTAAGCATCTAAATCACCCGAGGCTTCTCCGAGTAACACTTAAGAATGCTACCGACGTAGAGGACGTCTTGCTAGCAAGTCACTTGCTGAAATCAGATGGTAACGTAAGAATATTGCCCGACATACCGTACTCTGAGCGCAATATCATACGAAACGTCCCTAAAGAATCTCGCGAGAAGTTTTTCCGCGGAAGAAACATAATTGTCCAAGGTATACCGGAAAATGCAGACCCTACTCAATCAAATTCTGACATCAGGGAATGGAAATTCATCAAACAGTCCTTGAGGCTCAAACACATACTGACTCAGCATGTGACGAGACTAGCCAAGAAGGACGGTGATCCTAGACCTCGTCTAATGAAGATAACCTTCCCATCTTCTCACATGGCGGCTGCAGTTCTGGAAGCATTTCGTGCCAACAGACGTCGATTGCCACCTGGAATCCACATGCACCCGGATAGGCCATACGAAGTCAGGACCAAGAACAAAGGCAAGTTGGAGCTGACCATTCCACTTGTGGACTGTCTAAACGATAAAAAAAACGTGTAAAGGACAGGGCCTACCACCTCGGCAAACCTCATATAGGTGGGCTACCTGTCCATTCACATAAGGTTCATACAGAAAAACAGGACGAAGCTCACGCGTTCCAAATTGAAAGCATAAACTGCTTATATACGAACGCCGCGAGTTTACCAAACAAACTGGATGAACTACGTGAACTTAGCGACGCTAATAAGGCCCATCTGATAGGAATATCTGAAACCTGGATATCTTCTCAGTTCTCGGACCAAGAGTTAGCATTGCCTGGGATGACTTTGTTCCGCAACGACAGAAAAATAGGAATTGGGGGCGGAGTAGCCATATACATAAGCTCTTGCTTGGAGGTGCACCAGGTTCACAACCTCGAGTTTAACAATCTTGAGGAATCCATATGGTGCTCTGTAAGATTGTCTAGTACTTCCAGGTGTCTAGTCGGAGTCATTTACAGGAAGCCAACTGCCGACACCGAGTACGATAGTCGTATGCTGGAAGGACTATCCCGCTCTATCCGTCTCGGTTTCACACACATCCTGATTCTAGGGGACTTTAATCTCCCTAGAGTCAACTTCGCGGAACACACGTACACTGGAGGCGACAACTCAATTGAAGCTCGGTTCTTCAACCTCATCGATAACTTGGGCTTATATGAAAATGTGAGGTCGGCAACTCGTTGGAGAAACAGTCAGACACCATCGCGCTTAGACTGTGTATTCACTAACGAAGAATTCCTAGTCGACAACCTCTCAATCCTGGCTCCTCTGGGAAAAAGCGATCATGCCGTCATAGCCTTCAGTTTTGTCATCAAAACTAAGCTAAGGTATCCCAACAATAATTTGCGTTGGAATTTTAAACGGCTGAATGTGCCAGCTCTACATGACTATCTACAACAGGTGGCTTGGGATGTTCACCCTCAAATCGATGTGGATGGTCATTGGGACTTCTTACTGCACACGCTCTTACGTGCTACAAACCATTCAGTTCCTCAAACGGTTCCCAAAAGCTTCAAGCCACCTACAGTAATCAAGAACCGTACCCTTCGCCTCCTAAGCCGCAAACGGCACTGTTGGGCGGAATACAAACGAACTAATAACGATGGAGCGTATAGGCAATACAAACATATCAGGAACACATGCACGAAGGCTATAAGAGAAGACAGGCTTCAGTACCAAACAAAGCTTATGGACAAATTCGCCTCTAACCCTAGAAGCCTATTCCGTTATGCAGCCTCTCTTCGTCAAGCCAAAACAGGAGTTTCTCAACTGCTAGGTCTTAACGGCCCGACCAACAACGATGGCGACGCCGCTAACCTTCTGGCGGCCCATTACTCTCAAACATTTCAACCGGCTGACATCAACTTTATTGACGACAGTTTCATCTGCAATTCCACAGGACTTTCTGAAGTGGACCTAAGCGCTGACTTGGTGTTCCGGAAATTGCAGCACTTAAGACTTGACACTTCTCCTGGCCCGGATATGGTTCATCCTGCCATACTGAGGGAGGCAGCCTCAATCCTGGCAACGCCGCTTAGCGTGATGTTTTCACACTCGCTTAGCCGAGGCAAATTACCGGAAAATTGGAAGTTGGCTCACATCACACCAATTTTCAAAGGTGGTCGACGCAATGAACCTTCAAGTTATCGGCCGGTGGCTCTTCTGTCATTACCTTCAAAACTCATGGAGTCCCTGATATGCGACGGTTTAAATGACTATCTACTGTCCTTAAATTTCTTCTCACCCCAACAGCATGGTTTCAGGAAGGGTTACTCTTGTATAACCAACCTGCTGACTGCGGTGGACAGATGGACAAGCATCCTCGATCGCAAGGGAAAGGTTGATGTCATTTACCTTGATTTCTCAAAAGCTTTTGATAAGGTTAACCACTTGTGTCTTATCAACAAGCTCAAACGACTAGGTATCAAACCACCTCTAATCGATTGGCTTACTTCATACCTAAAAAATCGACACTTTAAGGTTAGGGTTAATTTCACTTTATCTCAGGCTATGGAATGTCCTAGTGGGGTCCCCCAGGGCTCAGTACTAGGGCCTCTTCTCTTCTTGATTTACATAAATGATCTTCCTCAACAGGTAACGTCAGACTTATTACTTTTTGCCGACGACGTGAAACTTTGGAGAGAGATACGCAACCAAGACGATATACAGGCTCTTCAAGAGGATCTGACTCGACTTCATAGTTGGGCAGACGATAACGGACTTACCTTTAACACTTCTAAGTGTAAAGTAGTCCATCTGCGACATGTCGCAAACTACAGTTACAACTTAGGAAACTCCTCTCTAGTAGTATCCCAAGTCGAAAAAGATTTAGGAGTCCTGGTGCCCCATGACTTAAAGTCTTACGCTAACTGTGACAAAAATGCCTTCCGAGCAAACCTTGCACTGGTAACGTTGAGGCGCATTTTTGGTCAGTTTGACGGAAGAACTTTCCACACAATCTTCAATAGTTTCATCCGTCCCCATTTAGAGTACGGAAACATAGTACTCCCCCCTCACTCCAAAAGGATAAGGTCACTTTGGAGCGTATCCAACGGCGAGCCACGAAATCAGTTCGAGGACTCAAATCTAAGCCTTACGAAGAACGCCTCCGTTCACTAGACCTTTACCCACTAGAATATAGGCGTCTTAGAGGTGATTTATTAATGGCTTATAGTATTCTTAACACTTCTGGACATCCTCTTAAACACCTACTTAAGCTTAGTTCGAACAATAACCTAAGGGGTAACACCCAGAAACTGGAAACACAACATAGCAAGACGGAATGTAGACACAACTTCTACTCCTTAAGAGTTGTCAAAAGCTGGAATTCGCTGCCGGCCGAGCTAGTCCAAGCGACTTCTCAGGAGTCCTTCAAGAGGCAACTTGACCTATTCTTAAGGACCAAGGACAGCATCGCACTATGATTTACCAATTTCTTTTCCTCTTTTATTGTTAACATACCTAGGTTCCTGCCTGGAGGATTTGGTGATCCCCTGCTACTAGACACGGAAGCCTGTTAAGCGAAAGCTTCTTCTATTCCGTCCACAACCATTTGAACCATTTGAACCATTTGAGATCGTGAGTGGAGGTTGCGGAGCTTTTGAATGGCAGTGCTATTTTACTAACAAATGTAATTATTAAGTTTAACATAAAACTAACATGTCAGACCCAGGTCATAGCATCAATGTGATTTTTGGTAAGAGATTTCTAATTTTATTTATTCCGATTAGGGGGTCAAAAGTATTTGGTCCCTTTACCATTGAATAGCGATGCAACATTACTGGACTTAATGAAGTCAGTAGACTCTATTTTACACATTCCATTTGATAAACAAAGAATAATATACAAAGGTACACTACAACCATACCCACTTGATATATTGTAGGAAGATCTCTTACTGATCCTGATGCATTAATTTCTTCATCCGGTCTCACTCCTGGGTCTAGAGTTATGATTCTTGGTTCAGTAAGTCAGTACAAATAGTTTAATTAGTCTGTTCCGCCAAAGGTTGATAAACTTAATCCAGATGAGGCCGTAAAACTTGTCAAGGCAAAAGACACATCTGATGCAGTCGATTTACAACTAAAAGACCTCTCAAACAAGCTAGATACTATTGTAAGTTCAACTCAAAAGATTTACAAATCATGTTTATTTGATCCTGAATATTTACCTGAGTGATTTTTAAAGGCATTGTGTTCACCCCCAGAGCCATTTTCTAGAATGCAATAGTTTAGTCGGTTAACTGTTATTATTTCTATGTTTGGAGATAATTTCGGTGTTTGTATTTCGTGTTATGTACTACTGTTCATCGCGACTTCTCACCCGGTTGCACCGATAGTCGACCGGTACTATTTTCAGCTCGTAATTATCGTTGGAATATGTTCACTTATGCTTACAGAATAAACCATTATCATTTTCTAGGGATTATGTCAGCAACATTTCAACCCTAAGTATTAGGACAAATTACGGGGGGAAGAGTCTAAGTATTTATTAAGTGGGATTGTTGGTTTATTTAAAAACTGAAGAATTCGGTTAAGTAAATTACTCTTTTATTACCCACTTTTTTGACCTTGTCGAACTCTGGTTCATAATCCTTATTTGGTTCATTCTCAAATTTCCGATTGGTAAAGCTAGTTTTCATTCCATACAAGCCTGTGTTACACCAAATTATTTGCGAGCTTACATAGCACTTGGGGAATTATGATTGGGAACTATAGTTCTCAATCATGCGAACCTATAGGCTCTTATTCTGAAGTCCATTTCTCATAAACCGTTCGTAGCCAACATCTGATAAGAGCCTGAAGTCAAGTTTGCGCAGACAGAATTTCATCCTACAAAGTAAAGCAAATTGATCAACATTTGAAGATTCTAAGCATCTACACCTGTGCATTGCAGAGGCTTGCCTACTTTAACGTTTTTTATCCATCCTTCTGATGATAGTTTTTATTCAATACTATAAATGTAGTGAAACATGAAATTCTCAACAGTTCAGTTTTTCACCAAAGTCTATAAATATATCTTTGGGAAATTTTGAAACTCTATTGCCGTGACATCGACACCAAAGTGAGTGAATCATATATATATATATATATTCCGATCAATGAACTACAATGTTAACCTCATCAAACTGATATACTAATTTCGATAATGTAATCAGAAGACGAAGATTATCAGAACTATGTGATATATTAGCGCAATACATTTCGAACAATCTGATCACACACATACTTGTTAAAAGCATTTATATATAAAAATAAAAGGTCAACTAGACTGGAAATGGGGTAAGAGGAGATAAGGATAATGATAAGAGCAATAATAATAATAATAATAATAATAATAATAATAATAATAATGTGAACACAATTCGAAACCTAATCACTCTGGATAATAAGTCAATATTACCAGGGTAGGTTTAAGGTAAGAACAAACTGTTTTTGAACACACGAAAGGGGTTTAAGTTTTCGTATGGCTAAGGCTTCAATAAACCTCAGTATACGCCCTTTTACACTTTTATACAATACCACAAAAGCTGAGTTTAGGTCAATCTTGTGACCTGTTTCAATTATGTGTTTAGCAATAGAGGATGATGGATGTTTATCCTCTGCTCTTATTGGGTCACCTGATTGTATTTGTTGTATTCATATGTGTGATCAGATTGTTCGAAATGTATTGCGCTAATATATATAATCTTCGTCTTCTAATTACATTATCGAAATTTATAAAAGGGACTAATTGATATACTAATGCCTGAATGATTTCTGCTTACATACTTCTGTTACCTTTCATGAAGAAGCATAGGCTGACCATCAGCTTTCTCCACCAAACTATGTCCTGGGCAGTTGTTTCCAGTTGCTATTGAGCCTTTTCATGTCTGCTTCCAATTCTCGGTTCAGTGTTCATTGGCCTTCCTCTTTTTCTCGTTTCCCTTCAGGATTCCAGGTTAGCGCTTGCTTCGTGTTGCAGTTTGATGATTTCCTCAATATGTATCCTCTCCACTTCCATCGTGTTTCCTTAATTTCTACCTCAGCCGGAAGTTGGTTTGTTCTCTCCCACAATATGTTGTTGCTGATGATATCCGGTCAACAGACATTCAGTATCTTATGTAGATAATTGTTTATGAATACCTGTACATTTTTTATGATGGTTGTGTTAGTTCTCGAAATTTCAACTCCATACAGTAGAACCGTCTTGACGTTCGTATTGAAGATTCTCGCTGATATTAGTTAACAGTTGTTTTGAGTTCCATATGTTCTTCAACTGTAGGAATGCTGTCCTTACTTTGCCAATCCTTGCCTTTACGTCTCCATCATATCCTCCACGTTCATCGATGATGCTACCCAGATAGGTGAAAGTTTCCACCTCTTCCATAGTTTCTCCATCAAGTGTGATTGGGTAGGTTGGTGTTCTCTGTGTTGTATTTGAGGATCTTGCTTTTTCCCTTGTGTATGTTGAGGCCTACTGATGCAGAGGCTTCTGATACACTGGTTGTCTTCATCTGCATTTGTTACTGTGTATGGAATAGAAGGACTCGGTCATCTGTAAATTACAAATCTAATTGATTCCGAGCTGTCCATTATATTCCATGCTTCGTCTCAGATATTGAGGTCTTCATAATCCGGTCAACCATCAGAAAAAAAGAAAGGGGGAGAGTAAGCGACCTTGTCTGACACTGGTCCTCACTCGGAATGTATCTGTCAGCTGTCCATGCACGATATTGCAGTGTAGTCCGTCGTATGGATTCCGTATAATGTTGACAATCTCAGCTATTCACACTATAGTGCCGAAGAAGTTTCCATGATGTTCTATCCACATTGTCAAATGCTTTTTCATAATCAATGAATTTGATGTATAGTGACGAGTTCCATTCAATTGATTGTTCAGCGGTGATTCGTAGTGTGGCGATTTGGTCTGTGCACAACCGATCCTTACGGAATCCGTCCTGTTGACCTCGAATTCGGGCGTCTACTGCGTCTTCCATCCGGTTCAGCAACACTCTGTTGAGGACTTTTCCTGGTACTAACAATAGTGTGATGCCTCTGTAGTTCTCACATTTGTTCAGATCTTCTTTCTTTGGTATCTTGCTGAGGTTTTCTTCTTTCCAACCCGTTGGCACTTGTTCTTCCTCCCAAACCTTCCTGAATAGAACGTAGAGCATCTTTGCAGTTAGTTTGGTCTGACTTCGGTGCTTCGGCTGGTATATTGTCAGGTCCTGCTGCCTACCCACTATTGATTTATCTGATGGTCATCCTGATTTCTTTGATCGTTGGTGGAGCAACATCTATAGGGAGATCTGTGTGTGCTGCTTCGATGTCCGGTGGATTCAATGGAGCTGGTCTATTCAAGAGTTCCTTAAAGTACTCTACCCATCTGTTCCGCTGTTCTTGAATTTCAATGATTGATCTGCCTTCTTGGTCTTTGACCGGTCTCTCTGGTTTACTATATCTCCTTGCTAAATTATTCGTTGTATTATAAAGCTGTTGCATATTTCTTTCTCTTGCAGCTTTTTCCGCTGGCATTACCAGGACTTCCACGTATTTCTGCTTGTCGACTCTAATGCTTTCCGTCACTTATTTGCTTCTGTGTATTCAGCTTGTGCCTTGAATTTCTCTGCTCTCGTTCGGCTGTTGTGATTTCTGTCTTTTTGTTCTACCCGTCTTGATTCTTGTCCAGGGTTTTCGATGGAGATCTATTCCTTATGATGATGTTGCGGCACGGAACCTCCTGATACGTTGAAGTTAGGGGTTTTTCGATCTTTTTCAAATTTTCCTCCATGGTAGTTTTCTCATCTTCGAGTAGATCTTGTAAGGCCTGGAACCTGTTGTTGAGAGTTATCTTAAATTGGTTGAGTTTGTTAGTATCTCATAGGAAGGCTGTATTGGACCTTTGTACTACTGTTTTTCCAGTTTTCAAGTGTTTCTTTAGCTTCAGTTTCCTCTTGGACACAACCAGGTGGTGATCTGAGGCTATATCAGCTCCTCTCCTGGTTCTCACGTCGTCCGTTGACCTACTGAATGTTTTACTGATGTAAATGTGGTCGATCCGGTTCTCAGTGGTGTGGCCCGGTGAGATCTACGTAGCTTTGTGTATGAGTTTGTGTGGGAATATTGTGCCGTCTATAATCAATTTGTCGAACACCCGTAGATTTGCAAATCTCCCCATTTTCGTCCCTTTCTCCTGATCCATGTTGTCCCATGATATCTTCCTATCCGGTGTCCTTCATCCCAACTTTGGCCTTTAGGTCTCCCATTGGGATGGTCAGGTCGATTTCTCAGCACTTCGCTATGATTGGTTGCATACTCTTATAAAACTGATATTTATTGTCGTCATTGCTATAATTGGTGGGTGCATAATATTGGATAACATTCATTGTGATACTCTCCTTCTTTGTTTTGAATGATGCCTTGATGATTCTGGATCCATGAGATTTCCATCCTATAAGTGCATTTCGTGCCTCTCCAGACATCATCAAAGCAACTCCCTGACTGTGTGGAGCATTTTTTATTTGTGACTGGAGTACAGCAGTATCTTTCTCGTATCTAACCTTTGCTGTCCATCTTGGGTTCAATGGGTTTCACATATTCCGAGGGCCACCGTGTTGTATCTCCTGATTTCCGTAGCTATTTGTCTGGTCTTCACGGTGTCCCACATTTTCGGGACGTTCCATGTATCTATATTATATGTTGTTCTGGTTACTAGAAGGGGCCTCGACCTCTTGACTTCCGTAGAATCTCGGTTTTTATCATGGCGTCCTAATTCCTCTTTGAACTCTGAGGGCAGAGCTTAAGCATTTTAATTTGTTTATTCTGGTTATCGTATTTTAGAAAGTTTTTTTCTACGGGATGTGGTTGCTGACCCCATGTTCAACCCTCATTTATCCGTGCTTGGGACTGGCATTAGCCATAGACGAGCTACAGGTGGTGTTAATCTCCGGACATACGAACTGCTTATAGGTTGTTGTTTTGGTTAGCTATTTGTATCTTTATTAATTCTATGTGTCACTATTTGTTTTGTTAAAGATTTTAAGTTATAATCCACACGCATTTTTGGTTTACTTTCTACATTTAGTTATCTCAAAGTAATTCTGATAGTTTAGAGGTAACTGCACACGTAAAGTCTACAATTGACATTATGGAGCAGTGCATGCGTACTCTTGAGCTTCTGGACTCTGTTCGGTTGCCATACAATTGCGAAAGTGAACGCACTTGTCGTAAGAAGCTAGTAGACACAATACAAGTAGGTTTTAAAGTAACGTTTATCTTTATCGAAGCGGTTTATGTTTAACTTGATACCTTTTTAAACCGTGATTCCAAACAGTAAATGCTTTGTTGTCGTTATGGTCAATGGCACACATGTAATGGCGTTAACTCAGCTTATGTAAACGTTGCTCCTCTTCAAACTTTGAAAAACTTTCGGTTTCTTATGTATGAAAACATTGAGATATCTATTCACATTACCTTTCGTACCAACAAAATGCAGTGCAGACCTAATGTTCACATTAAAACATATTTCAGTAGAAGCACAAGTAAGCATCTTACAAATGAATATTCGAAATTCATATAGCGGCCATATCTTTACAAACATTTTCAAGTATTATGTGTTCGATTATTACTTTCGATGGTAATTTACTTTGTTGTTATAGACGACCTTAGTCAAATTCACTTCACAGACTCTTGGAGCTAATACTGTCCAATAAATTTTAAGTTCACTGATTGTACTTATATATATGGACACTACTACCCAAAAGACGAACGAACCTTTTTTTCCTTTTTGTCGAAGGATTTCTCGCGTTAATCCGTTCTCGAAATATAAGCTTTGTAAAGTAATAATCATATGAAATGATAAAAAAATTTGTTAGTGTTCACTTGTTTTTCAAGTATATTAACCAATGTAGTTTTCCCTTTTATCTCTTTATTTCTTGATTCGTTCTTTCGAAATATTTTTCAGGAGTTTCTTGTACAGGCGGACAAGTTGAGAGCTGAATTTTTAAAGCTTATCAAAACATAACACTGATATTTTCTGTGTTAATACTTCTGTAACATAGTGTTTACTACAGTACTACTTTTGTCAGTAACTTAAAAAATAACATTACAGTTTGTTATACTTGTATTTTTCCTCTTCAATCACAAAAATGACTATAAGCAATCAACAAGGGTGACTGTCATGGAGACAAACGTGACAACTGATCTCAGTAAAAGCGGATAAAAAAATGAATGATTTCGTTGCATATTTTTCTCCTCTACCCCACCATTGGGTTTTCAGTCATCGCTGTAAGGCAGTAAACCTGTACACGAAAATAAAACAAATTTATTTAAGTTTGGAAGCTAAATTTATACTGAATAGTGAATTTACGCTCATCTGAATGTTTACAGTTTATTACGTGATTTCATCGCAGACAAAGATGTGATGGAACTGAGAAAGGAAATTTAGAAACATTCCATTACGAGAAATTATCACACGTTAAGTATATGGTATTACTCTGTGGTTAAAGTATAATTGACGGTTATGTTGAAAAAACTTCTATTACCACAGAAAAGATATGTTAAGAATTAGTATTCGAACCACATTCATAGTTATCTTCTCAAGAATGTTTCATAGACTTGATAAAGTTTCTTAATAAGGTTCCCAATGTCCTATTGTCTAAGTAGCTTGAAGCAACATACACAAAAATTGTAGGTAATGTATGGCACGATACAAATGATTATCGTTCCTTGTTATCAGACTTCAAACTAGTGATCAACAAAACGATGTTGAAGAACGAGCGAATAGAGTGTATTAAGTGGAACCATTTTCAGCACTTAGAAGTGGATAATAAGTGGATCTGTCCTACTGAGATGAATTAATTGTACGACGTTTCACCTTGTCTGCTATTCTAACATCAGTTATACCGTAGAATTTAACTAGGAAGCTTGCACATTCTTGAACTTTCTATATCAGCAACAAATGACTTCGATTACTTCTTTGACCTTGAGTATATGTTCTTGATATTACAGGGTATCAAATATACAAGAATTTCGCGCACCTCATACTTACCATATCATTTGGGTATATTGGAGTTGTAGGTTCTGGTAATGTGTAAACAAATCTTTCGATTTTTCCACTTGCTTCAAGGTATATGTTTTTACATGACAAACATTCATCCATATTATTGCTAGCTTCAACACTTCGATAAAGGCCGATTGATATTGTTCCGGTACTTGCCAACTCAGCATGAAATAACTGACTGAAAGTCAGAATTTTCTGTAGAAATAGAAAAAAAACATACGTGTGATGTCTTGCGTTACATATTTACTGGCAAATTTCTTTGTATTTGGCAGTTCGTACAACATGTCCCAAGAGGCATTAGAATTTTGCCTCTTACGAGATCAGTACTGAGATCAAATGTTATATATAGGGATTTAACCCCTCTATTAGTGGTATGAATGGCGCTGTGATTAACTTCTATTCAGTGTATTTCTCTGTACAAAACTATACTTAAGTAAACAGTTTATTATTTCTGTATAATATTATGATAAAATCCAAGTGACCTTCATGATATAATTTACAAACATGGTCGCTTTTCTCGATCGAAATAAGATAGTGGAATTCCGTGCGTATTGTTTTCACTATTGGTTCGTCACGTTTAATGGTAATTCTCGAGCCAAAAGATCTTTATTAATATAATTGGTCTTTACGTCACTTATGTTCTCTGTAGATTAAAAAACAAACACTAGGTTGAGGTTGTTTAGACCTTAAACTAATCATTTTACCGTCTTGTATACTGGAAAAGCTAATTCGTTCCTCCCCTCTTATTGTACAATAAAAATATATTTACATTTATTACCTGCGAAGCTAGATGATGAAGTTCTTTATCCAATTCCATAAGGGGTATTAAACGAAGTTGGGATAGCCGAACAGCAATCGCTTCGCCTGTGAATTAAGATTACAGAGCTCTTTACATTACTTTCTAGATATAGGAAATAAAGTAAGATTCTTCCAGTAAAATTTAAAATTATCCATAACTTAGAAAATCGCCTATTATGTAGCCCATATATGTCCTTTGTCTATCGGCTAGTAATTTACTCGATAAGTAAATGGACTATTGTATTTGCTAGAAAAGCGTAATTATATATTTCAGGAAATTAGTTGTATTTGTTGACTGTAGCAATTTAATCTTTTGATATTGTAAATAGTATTTATACAGAAGATTCGTAATTTGTAAGTGCTATTCAGTTCAATTTATTCAAAATATGGCTGCTAATCAATATAAAGATCAGTATATTGAGACAGTTTTTATTTACCTTTGGTGCTTAATAAATCCCCATCTACCATTGTCTTTATCATTGCATGGAATTATTTTATCATGTTCAATTATAACGGATGGAGAAGGGGGGGAGTTGTGAAATACCTCTGCCATTGATAAAGTATAGTTTTCACTTGAGAAATGGGAGAGACAATTTGAAGCCTAGCAACATAAGTTGATTGAGATATTGACTGTGTAGTTTTCTAACTTCTGGTCTGTAATAACTTGGTAAAATTGAGCGTGATCTCAAAATCTTTCTCTAAATTTGACTTTAGACAGAAATTCGAAGTAGGTCTCATCCAAATGTTTGTTTGTCATAATAGTTTTGACTGACATTAGTAAGGGGGTTGCATATTAGCTATGTTGTTCGACTTACATACACTAAGTCCTAGGTTCGAGGCTCGCTTTACCTATTCGATTCGGGCGAATGGGTAGCATTATTTGCCGTGACACTTGAAATACCAGGGAAATTAGTTAGCTTATTTATTATTGTTCGCACACTGACGGTGGCTGTTTGAAATCAAAATTAATAATTTCTCGAAATCATTCCAGTGTTTTACGATGGCAGTGACGCAAATGACGTTATTTAAATTTCTAGTCCTTTTAACCAGAAAAATGTACTTAATGTGATTCATGGATAATCCCCATCTAATGGGTTACGACTTCTCCTTATTCCCGTAACATCAACTGAGTCACCATGATGGATCAGTAATGCTTCGAAGGTAATTATGGTCGTTTCTTAGTAGTCCACTTGTATTCTCGACTTTCAATGATCATACTTTACAGGGATAAGTAGACTGTAGACTTAGCTTTTGATAGACAGAAAGATGTTTTTCCTATGCTACAGGTGACTCAGGTAGTACCTGTTATCTCAATACGAAGGTCAGCCTCACCTATTATGACTACCCATTCGAGTTCATATTGGCTAGAACACTTATTTGATGAGGTCTAACCGTGCTGAGCAGGTATGCTAGAGGTTAATGGGACAAAGCAGCAAATGTAAGGTCTGAGGGTGAGGTCGTGGTTTTGATTGTGCTGAGATGTCGGAGTAAGGTGTAATGGTGACTCTCTTACAATCAATCTCGATTATGGTTAAATTTTGTCAAGCACTTTATTAACTCACTTAACGGACAATGTTATTCGACCAGAAACACTTCGCATATTTCTTTGTACTGTTGTAATCACTATCTTGTCGGTATAAACGTATACGCTTAATCACATGACATCCTACACAAATATCTTTCTAGCTTAAATATCGCTCGATGAATCATTCTATTTCCCTTGTATATATGTACTCGAATCCTACTGTTAGCTTTTGCCTTGCTTAGCTGTGCCTTATTCGATTTGACTATAAATTTGCTTCTGTATTTGATTGCATACACACATTAAACTCTTCTTCAAATCTACTCGATGAGCTTATAACCTTGTTATTTAGAACAACATATATAAGCGAACAATATTGTTTCTGATTAGATCATCAGGCTTTACTCTAATACATAGTAGTATTTATATGCACGTACGAAATTATTAAACCACATTGTTGTCTGCGCTATCCGCTAATAAACTGTAGTCGCCACTTCTTATCGTCTGATTTTAAACACCGTTGGGATTTATATAATAACAGTTATTAATGTGACCGAATAACGAAGCTAAGCCACTACGGTGTTTTCTACGGATAACCAGCTCTAGGAGTGTTGCTTTCCTCAGAAACAAAGGGGGATTAAGAAATCCTGGCCTCAAAACACCACGTCTTACTTTGCTCAAAGGATTTCCGTTCCTGAATTTGAGTTCTGGCTAGTACAAAACTAATCCCTCTGAAAGTACCTACAGAAAGATCTTAAGTTACCACTTTCAAGCAGCTATAACTCGGACTCTGGAGTCACGAAACCATCACTACTAACCTAGTTTCCTTCTCAAGAACAAATATCTTTTTACGATTAGGTCAACTGAGAAGTGACACTATAGCACCTTTGCCTGAACTCGAGATTTTAAATTGGTATATTGCTTTGGGCAATCAATTTCAATTCGCCATTTTTCTAAAGATTTCATGCTACATCCAGTGATGTTAAAGGTGGGTTGTTTAGACTTCAAACAATTCTTTAAGGTTTCACTATCAGATAATCTCTAACATGAGCTTTAACAAACAATAATCAGCTGCATGAGTTTAAGATTTATACAGTCTATCGCTTATCAATAATTTTTTTAAGACATTACTCAAATCTGTCCATCAACCATGAAGGTTTTGATATCTCAAAAAAAAAAACAGTACAAGTTAAATACTAAATAGAAAGATTTATTTAGACAATTTAACTCACCTGTTTCAGTTTTATAGCTTAAAAAACTTTTTACATTTATTTGTTCATTACCTGCTGTTATATAGTTAGAATCTGTCTTCTCTTTCAAAAGTTCTGCATCATTAAATATATCATAAATTACATTCTTATTACCTTCTACATAGCAGTCACTTGATTGACGTGATCTTGTTTGTCCATCAAACTGGGATATATTTCCGCTTAAACAGTTCTTCTTTAAAAATGATTTATTGTGTTCATTATTCAGAAAATCAGAGATAGAACCAGTAGTTGACAAAGTATTTTGTACTTCACTGGAATATAATCGATTACTTTCGTTTTTATCATCAACTTGACTTGGTATATTACCAGTTAGATAACCTGGAAATGTCAAAGTACTGACTGGTTGTCCCTTTAAGCCTGGAAAGAAACCACTATCTATAGCAAATACCTTTTCTACTTCATGACCTGGTCCACCGCCTAAAATTGTCTCAATAAATGTTATTACAGTTGGATCGAATAGTACCTGAAAATCAAGTGTAATGCAACAATAGTCTGTAGGATAAGTAAGGAATAGATAGAATTAACTATTGCTTTGCTCATACTATTTATGTTTAATTAAACGATATGGTATTAAGATATTTAAAACCATAAACATAACAATATTTAGTTCGTAGTTTCGGTTAACCAAACTGTATTTCAATAACTGCGTAATGCAGTCTTTAAAAGTGAAGGGTATTTTCAGTTTGCTGGTATTTGATCTACCTTCTAAGCACTGCTGGGGAACCTATTTAAATAATCGTAACCTGAGGTTTTTTACCGCAACTACACATTATTTTGTGATCTTATTTCATTCAGAAATGTCAAACTAGTGGGAAAGAAACATTTTCTTTTTTAGTTAGTTATAATATATAATGTATCCACAAAAACATTTCTTAAAGATCCAGCTGTCGATAAATGTCATAATGTGGTGTGAGCTACTTATATCCACATAAGTAGTGTCCAACGATGGTCAAGAATAGAATGTATTTCAATAGAAGATCGAGGAGAGGATGGGAACGGATAGAAATTTTCTGAAAATACACGAACAATGAAGTCTGAGACGATGGACTGATGTTTGCAAAAGGAACAGTCAAGTTTGAGACAATTGACTGACATTTTGCAAATTCAGTATTTACTGTATGGTTCTCAGATTTTAGTGAGATATTCTGTAATTTCGGGTTCGAATACATCCACTTGTCCCCACTTGTGTTCTTGTTCATTATAATAGCACTTAATAATGGTACATCGAATTTTACTCCGTATAGAATAACTTTAATGACTGATAAAATGCGAAAACATGATTTTTTTTATTGACGTTACTAAAGTCGTAGTTTATATCAGATTATTCCTCTATAATTCTTCAAATAAGTAGTTAATATTTGCATCATCAATATATAATATTAATCACATTAAACATAACATAATTAGATAACCAACGTAAAGTTACATCTACTAAAAAACACTGCAGATAAATATTATTGTTAGTCACAATATTCTTTTCACTCGGTTTGCAAAAACTTAAGCCGGAGAATTTCATGAAATCTGAATTGTTTTTACTTTATATTCAGTGTGATATGGTACGGCCACCCTATTTTGTAAATGCTTACTCTGTGATATCACCGAATTATATTTAATAGCTAAGATATAATACATAGAACACAATGAATACTGTTGTATTTTCTTAAGGCATATTAGAATAGGTGTAAGTTAATGAATTCAAAAAGTAGGCAAACAAAAATGCTAATGTTCTCTAATACTGTGTAATGTAAATTCCATTGTCAAACAATGAAAAGGATCACAATAGAAATTTGTAACATAACAGAATCAAAATAGTTAAGTAGTAATGTTGAACGTAAACCATAAACTGAATACACTAAAACTCAAGTTAAAATGAATAAGTTATGTTAGCATTCAATTATTTTCAATAAATGACCAATCCTATTTTATATATAAAAAGAAAAATACAGTGAGTTCAACTTCATTTTGTAAAGTTAGTTATCATTATTCTACTTAGATTTAGAAGAAACTAAATCGTGATTCATCCAAATGTGATGATTATAACATGAATGAACTCAACTTTTCCAAAACTATGTTTCTTGGTACTGTTTATTCTATTCTTATAAAATAACACTTCTGTTATCTATAAAAGTATGTTGATCAATGAAGTGAACTTTTTTCTCCATCAAATGATATACTACTAATATTATATAGTTAAGTTGATATTTTATTGTAAAGCAGTTATTTGGATTTCTACAGAAAGCATCTAGGTAACAATAATTTTAGAGAACTATGTAGTAATTAACAAATTCATATTTGCTAAGATATGGGTTAAATTGTAATTAAAATGAATTTGATCTTTTCTTATTAGAACAACATATATAAGCGAACAATATTGTTTTCGATTAGATCCTCATCTGGCTTTACTCTAACACACAGTAATATTATGTGTATCTACGAATTCAGCTGCTCCTGTGGAGAAAGCTATATTGGGCACACTACCAGGCAACTGAACCGAAGAGTTAGTGAACACCTCCCTTTGTGATTTGGAAAAGGTAATGTCAAGACAATACGCAGCTCGGTTTTATCACACTTGATCGATAGCGGTCATGTAGTGGATAGAAACTAGTCATTTAAAGTTATTTATCGTATTCCTACTAGTTTTCCTTATGGTGTTCGATCTCGTCTCCTACACATAGCAGAAGCTATAGGAATTCGAACCAACAATCCAAGTCTATGTGTTTATAAGGAATTTGTATCACCCTTGTCCCTCCCTTGGCCTTAATAAATGAATCTATTGTTATTGTTTTTCATACTCTTTGTTCGTTTTTTTTTTTCACACTCTCCCAACCATTTTTCTCTCTCAAATATACGCTTTATGGTCTAATTATCTGAACACTTTTATAATTTTTATAAATGTTATCCCACTATATATTTTTCTAATCACTGACCTATTTCCGATTATGTAACACTGATTTAAGCCTTTATTATTCTTATGAAAAACTAGTACAACTATCATCACACTATCAATTTATACTTTTCACATATTATGTAATCTTTTTCATTGTTATCATTGACTCACAAACTACCTTGATTGGTTTAATAATTTCATATATGCATGTGAATATTACTGCATATTAGAGTAAAGCCTGATGAGGATCTAATCGAAAACAATAGTGTTCGCTTATATATGTTGTTCTAAATTACAATATGGAAATTTTTCAAACTTTTCTTATTTAACATTGAAAGTAAATTTTATACTTTTAACTATAAATTTGACCAACAAAAACTCAGTTCAACAAAGATTTTTATTAGCTATGGTGAAGCTTATAGAGTTTCTAATTAATGTTTAATGAAATAAATGTTTACTTACATTTGATGAAAGACTATGCAAGACATTAGATTCGAAAATATTTCCTGAGGCAATTAATGGATTGAAGTAAGTACTTCCATATTTTGATTTAGTTGATAGAAGACTTGCATTGGTTACATCATCTAGAATTGAAAAGAAATGTTTTTATTGTATGATATAGGCTTGTGTAAAGGATGAATTATTTCAGAAAAAAAACATTGGAATCTTCGATGTATTCAGAAATACTATTTACTACTTAGTGTGTTGGCTATTTTCAATATAAATATTAACATTAACTAAATCCATTGATAATTTATACTGTTTGTCACAGAATTACACTTTTGGAAATTATTTTCAAGTAACACTAAATGATCTAGGTTTTTGTCATAACTTGTGAACGCCGATTAATGTGCAGTGACTTATCGATCGGATCAATGACGCGTAAAACACGTGCGAGCAGCCTAGAGTCCTGATTGGCCCTGTTTCCCACCTAGCCCGGTCAGTTGATTCCAGAACACCGGTCTCAACCTCTGCAATATGAATCATTTATTTCAAACATACGGGGTTTATATGCCAATCAAACAGACCACAACGTACCATAAAACAGAAAATAACATTTGTGCAATATTTAGCCAAAAGTGCCTGTGAACGAGGGAGGTAGTGATTAACAGACAGGGAATAATTCAAGAATGGTAAGTCGTATAATAATAGTTCATAGGTCAAAATAAAACTCATAATAAGAGGGACATGAATACGAACAGTTTAGTTACATAACAATTACACGATAAAATATACTCATAGTATTGGTCCATAAATGGATCCCGAAGATTACCATTCATTATTCTTATCGGGATATAACAGTTTTGATAAAAATTGTGAAGAAATAGTAAAGTACGTAAGAGACTGGTAAGAAGAAATGTGTTTTAGAAAACGTTGCAAATAAACATACACATTGAATCTCCCTAAATAAATGTTTATTTTTGAACGATTTTGCTTACACCAATATTGTATACAGAATCACAATATTAAGGAGTTGATTTCGAAAGTGAAGAGTTGAAAATGCTATGAACTGTGCATTAAAAGTATTTTAGATCTTTGAACAGATTCGTTAAAATATCAAATTTACATTGAGGTACAAAAATCTAAGCTAATGTAACAATCTGTGAATCAAGTCAGAACAATGATTGAGGCAGAATAATATGAATTCATTATATTTTGTGGTTTCTTATCAGCTGCTAACAACCATTTGTGTATATAAAGGTAACAATGAAGTGTGATATAATGTGAAACAAATGAAATTGATGGCGGAACGAATTAGAACGACAAAGGTTATCAGTAATAACTGATATATATGCAAGAACATGTTAGAGGTCATTTGGGGGTGGTATTCAAAAACATAAGGGGTGGATGATGCATTAATTAATTGAGGTCCAGAGACTAATAAGATAGATTGTGTGATAATTTAGGGGTTGCGAAAGATTTACATAAGGTTACTGGAATTAGAAATTGATGAGTTACGTGATAATGGAACAGGATTTGAAGAGTTTACATAAGAGAATTAAATGAATGAAAACGTATGAGTTAAGGGATAGTTTTGGTGTTAGTTAAGGGAAGACCACATAACAATGTAAGCACTAATGTAATAATGATAAAGACAAAAATAATTTACCAAGGTAGTGATAAATTTATTATTGTCAATTTCTGAATACATAAATCTGATGTGAGTTTTTTTTTATTGCTATTGCTTCGACGAACCTGAGAGATGCTCTGTTTTTTTATCTGTTAATAATTTTGAAGGTTTGTGGAATGTCAGTGGTACGCTCGGTGTTAAACAAATGCCGAGCCGTTGCGCCTCTCAGTAATGGATTCATATTAATTTGCCTCAATTGTTGTTTTGGCTTTATTCAATTTCATAAAGGTAACAATGTTTATTTACACTTCAGAAACAATTATGAAATAGGGAAAATGCATGAACGGTTTGTTTCGCGTCAGCCATAAATCAAGTTTAGGAAGGTTTTTGATGAGGTAATAAGTGTTATAAAATAATCATATATTACTTTGTTATATTCAGTTCATCTCATTTCCTTTTGTCACAAATTTATAATTTTGTTTTCGTCTAATTTGAATAAAAGGTTATCTGAATTTGTTGTCTCTGTCTTCTGTATTTTTAACTCATTTTATTGTTATCCTTAGATTTGAATCTAACCTTTAATACATTAAAGCGCATCACCTATTTGTTACATCTGATTATTCAGGATCCATTGTATAACCGATAAATGTATGACCCTGTTCTCCATACAACTGTCGCATACCGAAATCTAATGATGTAGTTGAAAGATTTAGAAAAAATATAGCCATAGATATTCAATGAAAGCTTAATCGATTGTGGTAATACATTATCATAAACTTACAAAGCTCAGTTACAAGCATAGGATGATTGTGTTCAGTCATATTTAAAATATCTAAAAGCAATTGATAGGGAATAAAATTAGCCAGTAAGGATAAATATGAAAAATCACTATTAAACAGTATACTTAGATGAATGACAACTACTGACAAATATCACTGTTTTTAACTATGTCCTATTTTAGTAACATGAAATGAAAATGAGAGATTTCTTAGTTTGACAGAGCGTGAGATCAAAGTAAAGCATTATCATATAAATATATTCACAATGGTACAAGATGTAAGGCAAGGTACTATAACATTAAAGTTATCTCACCAATGAATTGAGAGCAGCTTTAAAAGTTTTGAAGCTGAAAGCTGGTAAATGATGAACTAAAGTCATTTTATGACGAGGAATCTGACTGAAAAAGGCTTTGATTATAGCTTGACAACACATTCGATACAACAATGAGATTCAGAAATTAGATGTTAATAAAATATCATCAAGTAACATTGAAAATATAATGGCAAACTATAATAAGTAGATCTGTTCAACTTATTACATCTCACAAAGTAATCATTCATTTGTGAATAACTAGTACCTTGCTGTAGTTCTTAACTATAACCGAAGTAAAGTGACGGAACTTGACAGTATAATTAGTAACCTAAGTAACTCAACATTTCTATTCAGTTTACTTAATTTCGAATGGCTAGAATCCATTTATAGAAAGACTAACTCCGTGGTTTTGTGTTCATCTGTACCTAAAACCTATGGTAAATTCTTTCATTTTGAATTATATGGTTCTAACTAGAAGAAACTTTGTGGCCTTTTAGAAATATCCACAACTTATGGCAGTGTGTATCAGTCAATAAGTATGAAGACTCAATTCTAAAAGTTTTCAGTAGAATATTTGCAATGAAGAAGCTTGTATATTAATTAGAATATGTAAAGCTAAAAATTAAAAGAAAAAAAAACACTTTCACAAACTTGTTTTATGTGCATCAGCTAACAATTGACGAATATTCAAAGTACATAGGATACTTTCTTTATCTATCATTAATGATGGCTTTCCAGAAATATCAAATGAACATGAGAGTACAACACAAGTTGAACATCTTTCAACACCGGCAGCTCGAAGATTTGCTCTGTTTAATGGTGATCCCTAAATTGTGCAATAAAATTAACTGAAGGATAAGAATAATAAGTTTTTGTAAATTTTTAAATATATATGTTAATAACAGGTTTTCTAGTTACACAAATGATGAATCGTATCCTTATAGAATTATGAAGAATAACAGCTACTTTGGAATAGATGGCAGATACATTATAATTGTTGATTTATGATGATCTTATACCAGTTCCCTTTAGCTCTTTGAAATGTAAGAAGATACACGTTGTTAACACGATGTTTTGATTATTTAACTGACTTAAGTGACGCTACTCTATGGTATATATGTTTTTCTAAAGAAATAATTTTAGAAATCGCATCCAGTTCATACTAATTACAACATGGAGATATAAACATACTAATTTTGGTAAATATGGTTTATCAGAGAATAAAAATATCTCATAAATCATCTTAATTTTTACATATTTAAAAATAAGACAGTCAAAACTTGACTTCTGATAGCTAATAACTGTATATATCACAACTGACAACTTGGAATGGTAATCCGCAGCATAATATGATAAACGTTAGTGATTCCACAAAAAGTAATTTCTTAGTAAGATTACAAAAAGAGTTAACATCAGTACACGTTCACTGCAGTTTCTGGTGCTTTTCAGAATTGTGAACTGAATCTTTGATATTGTAAGTTCAAATCACATATCCTAAATCGTACTTTGTTAATAAAAAAATCGAAGCACTGATAGTTTTTGTGAAATTTCGAACTAAATAAAACAATTTATTCTCATTAAGAAAAGAAAACCCCTGAAGGATTATTAATAACATTGAAGAGATTATTCATTAAGAATTCCCTATATCTTTGTGTTTTACAGAAGATATCTTCCAGTTTATACTCAATAATTATGGTAGATCCCAATTTTTCTTTAAAGATGAACACCTTACTCTATGTGAGATAGTATACCACGTACGAATCCTTAAAAAGAAAATGATTGGTTGTTTAAATATAGCAAAGAAAAAGTTATTGTCAGATGCTCGTCGATTTTAACCACATTAATAAATGATAAATACGTGTTTGACTTCAATGAAAGATAAGTAGAGACGAATGTAGTACTTAATGTTGGATCGCTATTCAATACCCAAGCCAAGGAATATTAAATATTAGGAATAAACCCCACATAGAATATTATCAAATTTATATGTAATGATGTCTTGACAAAGTTAAATACAAACTTTTTTCTTATACTTTACTAAAACTGATGGGATAACCAGATTAAATTGACAGATGTGTGCAATATCGGAAAGACATTCGTAGAAAGATCAATGAAAACTAGAGTTTATTAGTTACTTATTAATTGAAAAATCCTCAATATGGTATAATACAGCAGTTATCAATTTCTTGTTGGCTCTGGGTATTAGTACTCTGTTAAATGGTATGTACTGATAATGAAAGCTATCTGTAAATCAACCAAATCACTAGATTTTCATTATGACTAATTTACAATATGCAAGTAACATTCTGAAAAAAAAATTATCGAAGGCTATGATATTTCTCGGATAAACTGACTTACTGAAAAGACATAGATATTTGGGAGATTTTTCAGAGATCGCCATTCATTTTCAATAACTTTAGCTTCACACAAAATAATTATTGGTTTCAATTCTTCGACCGGTATCGAAGTTGATCTGAGTGGAAGTACAAAACTAGCTAAACCTGATTTTATTTCTTTAGGTTGTTTCATGATGCATACAATGATATGATTTTCAAACTGACAGCGAATCATTTCTTTCATCGTCTGGAAAGGTAAGTACATTCTTCAGTTATTTACTAATTAAAACTTATCAAAAGCGATTAAATAGAGGATTGTCTGATTTTAAAAAGTATAGAGCTATAACCTCAGTATGTGAGTAGTCTTCGCAGTATTTACCTTTAATCACCAAGAGTTCCCAACAAGAATAATAGGCGTAGCAAAATTCCTTTTGATGACACCGAGTTAAGAAGATTTATCGGGTGACCGAAATATGTTTTTCCGATTGAACAGACTCGCCAGAAATGTAATATTTTTCTACTATGATTAGGTCAAATACCGTTGAGATGTATGGTAACACATAAGTATAAACAACTAACAAACGAGAAGGTAGTTCAAGCAATAATTTTCAGAGGTGTACATACTGGGTGAGTAAAAAATTGTCTGTAATTTGTATATTTGAATCATTATACTACTTTACTTCAGTTTTCGAACTACATAGAATTGAGTAAAATTTAATTCTACAAAAGTAGACCATAAAGCTCAGTAACTTCAGTGAATGTATAACCTAATTAACCTTCAACTTTCGTGGCTTATTTGTTGGAGGATTGCGCCGGTAACATCGAAGCCAGCAATTCATTTGAAGATTAGTCGTTGTTCTTTTGGTACTCAGAAGATTGTATTTTAACGAGAGTCATTTTTGATTAAGTTGATCAAAGCGCATGTAAAGTTAAATTTAACTACCAACTTGGTAAGAATTTCATCTAATGAAGTTTAGTTCTATAATTTACAATCACCTTAATAAGCTATTTGTAAACAATTGGTTTGAAGCATTGTTTAGTGTATATAAACACACAATAATGACAATATCTTAAAGAAACTGGTACAGGAAATATATGAGAAAATTGTATTAAAAAAATCAGATAAGAGGAACAATTTGATTTATTCTATTTTACTTACCAAACATATATTTGAAAATTTTCTCTCAGTTACCCAATAAAATAAACCGGTACTATCACACTGCAAATCGATTTCATTCAGTCTTTGTAGTTGCGCTAAATCAGTTATTGTACTATCTGGATACGGATAACGATAATAAGAATTCATCGAAAAACTACTTGCACATGTAGGGACTTTTTTTAATACTTTGGCCTTCCTAAATTGTAGTTTTTGTTATCCATGAAAGTAGAAAGTAAATTAATAAAACATGTGATTTAACTTTAAAATTGAAACTCATTTATGGTAATTTAGAACAATAGAACATTTACAAGATGACATTTTCTAGAATTTTCGATCTAATAATCTAGAACTGTTTTAGTAGACAATACTTGATAGCTTAAACGAAGAATGAACAAATTAAATTATTGATATTTTTCAAACCTGTGGTGATTGAAGCTTTCGATCCAAGTTCTAATTCATTTAGTTATCAATTTGTTCTAGTCGACCTCATGAATTTTGATGATAATAGAATATACAAATGTACCTTGCGGAGATGATTAACGCAGATATATTTTGTAATTAATTTTTGTTATTATTCACAGTTGTCATAATTTCATCTAATTTGTACAATCATTGTTGTTGACCGTTATTTAAATTTAACACTGACTTTCTGTTATTGTTTTATTCTCTTATTGTATGACACTGATTATCGCTGACGAATACACTGCTGCTAACACACTTTTCGTTTTCACTTAATCAGCTGTCACATTAATAAATCTATAATATCATTGCTATAAACGTTTATTGATCACATTAGTGTCCTCATTACTCGATTATTCTTGCTATACATTAGATTGGATCATATATATCGTATTTTGAATTATTGATTACTTATTATAATTGTCGATTACGTGACCAGAAAACGAACACGCTTCCAAATGACAATTAAAGTAACTTCCAACATTCTTATCTATGTATTTATATTTTTGCATATGATTTTCTTCGCATGTTTTGATAATACTTTATCACTATTTCTGTATTAATAATGTTGCTCAGCTACAACTTTTAGTGAACATAGAAGAGGATATGAATCATTTGATCTTTTCATAAATCATTATTACAAAATGGTTTCGAATGGGCCTATGATAGTACAAGTAACTCTAAATCAGTTTATTAGACATAAGTATTTGACACTTCAACATTTTGAAACAACTGAGGAGCAAGTTAGATTTCGGGTAATAATATTATGATGATGATTTTCTACACGAAATCGTAATACTACGATCAACTTTATTGTGATGCTATTTTCACACCAAGAATTTTATCACACCTGCTGGAAAAGTTCATATGATATTTCATAATTTTCATTCAGAATCTACAGAAATTTAGTTTACGAACCCGATTACCATGTGTAATACTGCTTAGTTGATAGCTCTGGTCAAGTTTAATTATTTTATAACTTGATGTTATTACATTTCACCTACTACTATTCGTTTGTGAGGTTTATCCATAGCTTTAATGAAACATATGTACTCTCGATAGCTCTAACCTATGTAATCCAATACAGCACTTGTATGAGTGATTACTCTTAAGTGGACCCCTGTTGGACTAGGTCATCTAAATCGGTCGGTAATACACTAATAATTGGCTATCATTTTATCAGAGACGAAATTCTATGGAAAAATTGACTATTTGATTAATGGCTTAAAGCACATAATATTATAAATCCATTGAGTTCGATATGACTAGTCACAGGAAGAATTGAATCTTTCGAGGATATTTTACACTTTAATATGAATGACTTTGTTATATCCGAGTGGAGATTAAATTACAGGTAACTTCCGAGGACTATTCATGGACTAATATTCTATAAATATTCTTATTGTATAACTACTCAACAATTACACTATGTATATTTGTATTCCTTTTATGATAAGCTTTATTTTGACCTATAATTTATTATTGTACGATTTACGCTTCTTAAGTTATGTTCAGTTTATTAACTAATGCCTCCCACATTCACAGCCACTTTTTGGTCTTATTTGTGTACAAATATTATTTCCTATTTTATGGTACGTTGCGGTCTGTGTGATTGATATATAAACCAAGTATGCCTGAAATAAACGATCTGCTCTGATTCGGAAGCTGGTATTGTGTTCTGTACTCAAGTGGAAGGGCTCGTAGGACATAGGACCAATAAGGACACTAAACTGCCCACACCGGTTGAACGTCATTGGTTGGCCTAGTGTGAAGATTCGTATAAGTCGTATTCGGATTGGTAGATAAGTCGTGTGATCGAAAAGTCAGACATCCAAGGTCATAAGAGACTTCATTGAACATTGATGTTTTTAATGACTTTTAGAATGGATTTGTTTAGAACATGTTCCGTACTCTGTACAGTCGTAAACTAAGTCTATCCTGCATAATGTATATAAATGTAGAAATCCATTTAAATGACACTGTGAGTAACGACATCTAGAGATCTTTATTTCCCTAATAAGAAGATATTTTATGATAGAATATATAAAATCAGTGAATATTTATTTGGTGAAGCGAATATTTTTACAGTTAGACAAGGACCGTAAAGAAGATGATATACTGTTTAAAATCTTGAAGGTTTTCAACTAGCTAACTTAGGGGGTTGTACAAATTAAAGAGAATATGTTCTGAGATTAGCTCAAAAATAACAGTCCTTAACAATTATAGTGATATGCATCAACCCACCTTTAACATTTTCTAAGCAATTTTAATGATCTTTTACAATATATAGTTTTTAAACGCTTTATTGAATGTTTTCTAGTTATTAATAAGTATATACTATATTTAATCAGTTTCTAACATACCTGTACAATATGATGAAAGCGTCTAATGTTTTGTATTTTAAAAAATCAAATTGTTACGGTCAAAATATTATCTTGGTAAAATTATTTTGTTTCCATGACAATCCATATTCATTTCAAGCCAGTTAAAATTAAAGTTGAATAACTTATGAAAAATAGAATGTATTAAATAAGTACTTTGTTATTTCCTAAGGCTCCTCAAGAATAAGAACATATCATACCTCTCAGAATTCAACTTTAAATTCCTTATCTTTGGGATGAATATATTTGTTCTAACTCACTCTATTGAATAATAAAAACTTTAAGATAATCGTGACTTTTGATATGACGAAATATAGATTATCGTCATCATAGATCGCCTAGGTAGGTATGGAATCTAAAGATTCACAATAATAACAACGTTCTTTGATTTACAGTTATTATCAGTCTGTTATTGAATATTGATCCATTCCCGGAGGTAACAATTGGAGATTAAATTCTTTCTAGATGGAATCTAAAGAATTCATTGATAAAATTAAACTTATATAATTCAAAAAATATTATAGGAATCACACAAGATATTCTTTATTAAATAATATTTCAGTATAAAATATTTACTTTACCTCATATTACAGTAAGTTACAATTGATTGTCGAAGAAATCTAAAACACATTTGAATTGTTTTAACAAAACTATTTGCAATTGGGGAAAGTGTATTTGACTGCTCGCATATATTATCTACAAATTAGGTGGAATTTACAATCAGATCCATTAATATCTTGTTAGAACACTTGGCATAGATTATCTATTGTTTTAAAACTTGTAGAAAATTATTCTAAACAGTTTTTTATAAGAATATGAAACTCATGAAATGAATTCCTTCATTACACTAAATCATTTAAAACAACAGCATAACCCATTATAGGAATAAATAAATTGTTAGAAGTTAAGTTGTTTTTCTTTGTAAATGTTAGCTTTACATTACAGGTTCTGAACCATTTTTAAGTTTTGAACTATGTAGAATAGGTATTATCTAGTCATTTCCAGTTCATGATACAAACCATCTTCAATTAGGTCAACCTCACGGAAACATTTTGAGCAACTAACAACATTAACTGGTATAAATAACCAGAAAATCACTTTATGTATACTGGGATAACGAGTAAAGTTAAAATGAAAGTAGTATTACATGACAGCAACCGATAGACTACCTGGTTTTACACAGAAATGATACGTATTGTTTTTTTAACTTCAATAGTTATTTCGATTAATTTGTTATCTGATTTTAAAATTTTAACTTATATACTTACCTTGATTTCGACTAAGTGACGAAAATATTAATTGGCCATAATTATCAAACATTATTTGACCATCAATTGAGAAAGTCCTCAAGCTGATTATAACAAAGAATATTATAATGATAGAAAAAAAATATTATTCAGTAAATGGAATGACGTACTGCTATTGTTTCTATTTTCCTACACAGACTTCTAAGCAGGAATAAACAGTTATTACTTCATAGTTAGTACGATATTGTTTTTAAAACTTATTAAAAGAAGAATAAGATTAAAGAAAGATTGACAAATTTGAAAAACTAACTTTACGGTTTAAGTTTCAACATAATTTTAGTATAGTCTTTTGAAATTACAAGAACCTTTCAGGACAGTCAATATAGTAGCCGGAATAAAAAAGTTCCAGGAGAAAAAGTGGATACTACTGCATAACCTAGTGTACAATCCAGATCAACTACTTGGCAAAGCAACATATACAATGATAATTTATATCATATGCATTGTGTTGTTAATCTAGTATGGCTATTTACAATTTGAATTCTCAGAATTTAAATAAGACAACACACGAGACGATGAATGAAAATAATTTGATAGTCTATTGGAGATTACTTGTATGTTAGTTTGTATTTCATAAATTGTAAAACACAACAATGGACAGGAGCATTATCACGATATTATGAGGAATTACAAAGTATTCACATAATACATATACATAGTTTTCAGTCGTCCATTTGCATCTTCCTGTGTGCTCTAAAATCCATACTGTCTTCTCTATTGGCCTCCAAGTGTTCTGCCAACGCCGTGCTTTTGATGTACTGAAACTCTTCACTCTATCCAACATTCACTACAAAATCGTGATTATCACATCCATTTTCTAAGTTACCGTGACACATTATGACTCGTTTGCACATTTATAGTAGAGTGCAAAAATGAGGTAATGAAACAGATAAATTTAGTTCAACGATGGAGAATGGATATCCTTAAAAATTGGGAGAACAATATCAACTTTCATTTAGGATGCTTTCAAAAGTCATTTGTTTCATACCATATAAATCATTGGAGGAAATAAGTCACTTGACATCTGTATCCTAAAGAATTATCTACAAGTTGTATGTTTACTTGTTAACTACCCTTTTATAGTTATTTATCTATTGATTTAATACGAAAATATTCATTTCTACTTAAATCTCTTATATTGAATAATACAATTCTGAATGGATTTTAGAGGAATACTTTGCGGCTTCTTCCTAAAATATATTATCCCATTACTGCGAATATAGAATAAGCTTTCATGTACTTTATAATCATAATTTGTTCTGGAGTCTGTCTTTAGAAATATCATATGATTTAAATATCGACTGACTATCGGATTTTAGATGTCTCTCCTTTTTGCCTTCCTAAAATACTGTCCGGCTTATAACCGAACTGATTTTTGAAGATTACTTACATAAGTCGTTTAAACTATATTATAACTTCACTTGGCAACCAGATACTTGTTTATGTACATGAAATTTAGTCATATTATGTTTTTGTGTGAGGGGAAATGATAATAGTCTGTCTTAACCAAAGTAGACGTAATAGGGCTCAAATCTACTGTTCATTAGTTGAAAGTGGTATGTTTTTACCGATCTATCTAAATTTGTACAGTTGCCAAGACTTAAATTGTCTGTGTATACAGCTATATATTACTTGTAACTAGTAATCAGTTAATAGGGTTTTGAAACTAGTCATTTCTTTCCTATTACAAGAAACAAAGCATAATCTTCCCAGTAAATTTAAATTTTATTTTTAATTTTGAATAAAGGTTAATAGGTGAGTAAATTAATAAAAAAATGGTTTACCGTTGTGCTTCGATTAAATTTTAGCCAAAACAACTGCACGCATTCGATGGGTATTAATTCGTACTCGTACACCTGGATTGATAATCATTTGAGTTTTCTTATCATTATTGGTATAAACTTGTACAGCTAACAAAAGTAACCCCCAAAATTCCATGGCAAAGCTACATGTGAATAAATTAAGAAAATCCATAGAACAAAATACTTTAAATACAAATGTTTGGGCAAAAAGTAGTATTTGCAGTTATCTTCTACTGAGTTGATTCATAGACACTTTTCATCACTGAACGACCACTGGAAAAGTTATTGTTCATTTTCTCAAACTAAGACTGTCTAAAACACCAATTATATAGTATCTAATTATCATTATTTAAAGTAAATTATCCCTAGTTTTAAATGTACTCATACAAATTTCGTTTTGTTGTGAAAAGTCATGATGCATCATCTTTTATGTTATTGTAGGTGTAATCAAAGAAAATGTTAAAATTGTACAAATTTTGAAATATTTAGTACAGTACGCTCTAAGTTCATGACATTAAAGTATAATTCCTTAGCAATGATGCGTTGCTGTACATTAGTCTGCTTAACAAACTAGAAAAGATGAAATATGAGGAAAATAAATTCTTTTTTTATGACAACAGTGACATTTATTCATAAGCATAAAAAGACAATCTACCTAAGGTAATTAAGCTAGGGCATCAAGATATTCGAATGAATCTGTTAACTGATTTTCATAGAGTTTCAATCAAGTTTTTACTGACAATTAATATACTCGATAAAGCACCTCAAATGAAGTAACAAAATGGCTTAACTTATTCTAACTTAATTCGAAAGAATTACTTTTGGGAAATTATTCAATGATTCTTACATTGTACTGGACTATATGTTCATTCAGTACTATTTATCATATAATCATATGAATAAACATGAATGATACATTTTTCTTCTCCTAAAGCATTATTATATGTAAAAAAATATCTAATTTATTTATCAACTAAAGATCACTCACCCAACTAATTGTTGAAACATCATCCCATCGAAAGCATGAGATAATTTTACTGTATATAATTTATATTTTGTACCTTGAAAATATTCATTTATCCAACGAGGTAAAGTTTTCTATCAAAGTTAAACAGATAATAACAGTGATGAATAATTTGATAGTATAACAAACTCTATTCATATAAACTAATTTGAAGGATTACCATGAAATTTAACAAAGTTGTAAACAGAGCTAGTCACATTGTTATATCTTCTTTGATGAGCAATAAAAGACTATTCATTTCTTATTTTACTAAGCATTGTAAATTATTTGGTTTCAAATAATTTTTCTAATTCGCTTTTTATCACAACTATGTATATCTGTAATTTTTCAGTAAGAGTTAACCATGGAAATAGGAATAGAGTTATACAGTAATGAATATACCAAGTAATTGGAAACTAGTTGACAAATTACGAAATAATAGATAACGATTAAAAATCTTGAAATATGAAGCGGTTAGACAATAATTTCTTAAAGAATGAACTAAATGAAAGGTTATGTATCGACATACATGTATACCATAAGTCAATGATAGCAAAAAAAAGTAAGACGGAAGATGATAACTTTTGAAAGCCATATGGATTGTGTTAACTTCTATGAAGTAAATAATCTATTTCATAACAAACAGTATTTTCTATGTGTGATAATCGTCCATCGGGAATAAGTTTCAAATTCTGGATATGATTTTGTCAGACATCTGAAGTAGAAAATGTTGTCTCTACAATATCAATCACTTAAAGCATGAATAGCAGGTATAAAACAAACTTTTCAGACTACTTTTTGAGTTTAACAATTCAGCATTAAGAATAATAAAAAATGTAATATTTTGATCATTAAATCATTCACTAACCCTAACTGCAGCTGTTGGTACTGAATCACGCATTATAAAATTACATAACAGAGTTGATATCCCATTTGAAACACAATTCAATGCCAGTAAGCCAAGTTTCATCTGTGTTAAACAAATAGCTCTATCAAATTGGTCACTTTCATGTTCCTTCCACCCAGGTATATTTGACATCCACACCTATATTTTGGAAGAAGATGAACAGAGACTTTGTTGAAGATACAAATAAAATTGGAGCCTGATAAAATCCAAACAATTAACTGACATGGAGATGTATAGATTAAAAAAGCACATACTGTGAATAAAAAAATAATAAGTTAGTTGAAACTCCCAACTATTTCACTTATTTTAGTGTTTTATCTGTCTGCAAAACTATGGGTCGATTAGTGCGTATTTGTTAAAGTTACCAGGTATCTTAAATATGGTTTGTGTAATGGTTATATGTTTTATGAACGTTTATCTGTGCACATTCTTGTGTGTAACTGTTTGCATGTTTGTCTATTTTATCCCATTAACTTAAATTAAATAAACTTGCTAGACGATTTACGTAACGACTGATGAATACATTGATTAATGCACCACCCAAAATAAAACACTCATCACACGAAGTAAACCAAACTACATGAATTGCTCATTCACCTTCGTTTCTAGTTTTGTCCTTAGATTAGTGCTTGAAATATAATATATTTCCTATCTCTTCATGTTTCGACCACTTCATTTTCACAATTTCATAAATATTCACTCAGCTGACCAAAGGTTCGGACTTCTGAAGTTCACTTAACTTCAGAATTTTAATAGTCAATCGTTTGGCAATAATAATAATAATAATCATAAGCTTAGACATACCTTACTTTCAATTAACATAAGTTCACAAATTATTCGAATACTTGGATACAGATTTTTTATGGAAACAACACACATTAAATTTTTCCAGTCATCTTCAACAGGGGTTTGACTACATTTATCAGAAAGAATAATCACAGCCTCAGCAGTTCTCACCTTGAATGAGTACGAAGTAAAACAATTAATATAAAAAGTAATATGAAATAAATAAATGTTTACATATTTTTCAACGTGAATATAAAAGTGATTGATAAATGTAACGACAATACAATCAATTGAGTAGAAATGGGCATAAGTAAAGTAATCAGAAAACATCTGAAAGACAAGTTGAGTAATAATCGCATATATACTCATAAAAAACCTCCACAATTTCTTATGTTTCGTACATCTAAGGATCTATACAAGTAGATTTTCAAAGAAACACATACAAAACTTTCTACCAAGAACTATATCCTCAACTACCGACTTTCTCCACCATAAAATGCTTTATAAGCTCAAGAAAATATTGGAACGTATTCGGTAAGAATGTATTCTGAAAAATTAGTTTGTTAAAGCTAGGTGAACTTCAAGTTTCTTGAAATGTCATAATGTTGTTTAGTGGGACTGGATCCAGGAGAATATCTTACTGAGAAAATTTAGACTGTGTGTTAACATTACAGTCTTGTTTCATACGTATAATTAGGGCGGATTTTGCGAATGTCTATAACTTGTGACACCCTAATGGGTAAAATCAAGGAATTAAAAATGGAAGGTATATTTGGAAATGTTTTTTATGTAAATACTGATTGGATAGACTTGTGGTGAGGTTGAAATCTGAAATTGTTTAAATTATTACTTATTTCATCGTCATAAATACTGCTGAAAAAAATACTGAGTTTACGATTATTTACTGTTCAAGTAGTTATAGTTATGATGACCCGTCCAAATTCCTGGACATCTTAAAACAACTTAAGACATGTTAGACCTCGATGAGTAACTTATGACAGCTTCTTTCCTGTCATCTGCACAAAAAGTCTTTGAAATATTGGGCTGGAGGAAAAAATTAGTATATCGAGTTGTAAGTTTAAAGAACTAAAATCTAATCACAAAAGCAGGAAAACAGCTACACATTAGAGTTCAACAATAAATAGGGTGGTTGCAACAACAACTAACTAGTAGACGTTAGATTTTCATCTACGACTTCAAAGGTGATTATAGCCTCAGAACAATTAACAAAAGATCAAACAGTGGAGTACGCAACAAATATCCTGTATCTGAACTAGTTCCATAGTTTTGACATTTTTCAGTTGAATCAAAATCAATAAAATCCCCATTCCAATGTACGAATGAATCCGCATAAATTTACCAAAACAAGCATACTAAAAGCACATAAAAAATACTCACCTAAACAATTTAAACATATTTCACGGTATATAACTAAGTGAATCAACTAAATCATTGAAATTGTAAAGGTTTCATAGGCGTAAGAAATCATAATCAGTGGTCTAAGCAAAACATATATCCTCTGGTGTCCCGAAGCTATTGCTGAAAAGGAGGAGATCATAAAGCTTTCATTTACTACTCAAATAGTTCAGTCGTAACTCCACCGACTATGTTAGTAGATGACACTGATTCAGACCACATGAGTAAACTAATCCCTTCAAGGTTTCAGATACACCAACTAGTGTGGAGCCTAGAAGCAAGGTTTCCTGCTAGTTGCGTTCAACTTCATAATATTCAAACAGTGGATCCGATGTCAACATCACTTGGATATTGCAACCTCACAGAGTTTGACTAACACTAAGAGGTATACTCTGTGGTCACTCAGTGAGACTATACTTTCTGTTATCCTCGTTAATTGATATGATTTTAAGAAAACTATTTATCAAATAAGATATTCAATTGCAACAGGTTGGCATATCTTACAGACTTTATTTAGGCCCGTATGGTACTCAGTTACGTGCTAGTAGATTTTATCATTCCACACAAATAACATCCTTTATATGTACCGAGATACATATGGAATAGACTATAGCTTGGTATTTAAAACTTATCGGTTGTGAATAGTTTATGAAGGCACAGCAAAATAAAATTTATTATTGTCATTTTATCTAATTTATTATTTCTAATATATGTTACTCAAATTTTGAATTCATCTGGGTTTAAAACTAACATTTCTGACGAGACCTTCAGGCTGCATTTGAAGCCTCAGAAAGTCAGCAGATTTAGTAGGCTTATGATATATCTAGACCACAAACCATTTTTATGAAACATCATGTGTATAATTTCTTGTTCATTCGGTCTAAATATATTGACTTCATATTGTAATATTAGTGTATGGAGGCGCTGAGGTTTACTAATACTGTTGAATTATAAACTTGACGGAAAGAATATCCTAAAGTCCACTATTCCACAGCAGTCTTTCGTCTGAAGTTACTATTTGAGCTATCTAAGTCACATAAGAATTCGTTAAAAATTAATAACCATACTAAAAGAAATGATCTTCAAACCACAGTGCTTGTCATTTTGTCCAAACATTATCAGTAAGTTACTCATTAAGTGTCAAAGTATAGTGTTTGAGGCACTGGATTTGCTGGAAAATATGTATGGCAATTAGACCACAGAAGGAAAGTTCGTTGATTCTATTTCACTATTCATCATTCATATCTAATAAAAAATTCAATATTAGAAAGACTTAAAGGTGAGTCGTGTTTATATCCCTAACAAATAAAAGTGTTTAGCTGATATGGAGTGCTCAATAAATTCCTAGTTACAGCATAAACTGTCATTCCCTAAAATATATTAGTTTTCTTTTTAGTTATCTGGTATTTATTCGTAGTACCAATAACGTAAAATCCCATCCATTCTTTATTGATATATTTTTTATTAGAAATGAGACTCAGAATCTGAATATATTTACATGTAACTTTCTGGTGTGTTTAGGATGGACAAGTCATATTTTTGGCACTCATTATTCTGGTGGATAATACTAACGTTCTAAGCCCTAAGTGTTTAATTCAATCTCAGAGAGAACACTTACACCCGTGTAAAACCAGTTGTTTAGTCGAAAACTAACTAGATTCTTCACCCTGAATGACATTTCAATCTTTTAACAGAATACTACATTCTGAATAGGAATCTAATGTACAAAATGTTTCCTTTCTCTAAGAGGCCGTATTTTCATAAGTTTAAAAAAACAATGAGCTTAAAAAACAGATAAACTAACTGCATTTAAATAACTGACTCACTTTAGCCCTTTCCAAATCTTCTGGTAATGTCACAGATCCTTTCAAAAATCTCATTGTAGTGCTTTCTCTCTGAAGTAACGCCGTTAGACTAATATCAGGATCGATCCTACAAGAATTACAAAATAACACTCCTGGCTCATAAATTACACAGACTTCAATGTTTTTTTTAGATGGTAATCAACATTTTTTACTTGAATATTTAAAATTGTGCATCCATATTGATCAGTCTATTTTTTATACGATTCATCCGTTTCTTGTGTATAAGATACAGTGTCAAATGACTTGTCTGATAACTTGATGATGTTCGTCATAACGTTTATGTTATTTAAATATTTAAATCAATGTACCTTGTCTGAACGCTTTTCAGGATCAGAGCACAAAACAAGATAGTTACTTAACCATTATTTTAAAAAATGATCATATATATCTTTCAGTGTGACATTCAGTGTGGTTCTTTGTCAGCCAGTTTTTTTATTTTATTTATATTTTTCATACATTTTCTACAACCCTATATTATAGACACAGAGCCTTTATTAGAAGCAGTCAGTGGAACGAATTGGATCTCTTGGAAAAACCCAGCTTCGTAAAAGTATTCCTTGATGCCATTTTTGAAAGTTCTACAGCTGTAGTTTTATTTACTTAACACAAATAGTGGTCTTTAGTAATTCAAACTGGTTAGTATCAATGGTTATGAAATAGTAGCCATTTTTCAGAAGTATTCATCGGGCTCTGTTCAGCCCATCGTTGATTATGTGCACAGTGGTTTTTCGTATGACAAATGAAGTTACATAGTGGATGAAAAAGCTATACCTATTTAATCCCACTATCACCTCCGTATAAGCTCTCTATAGTTTTATTTTTTCAATCAAAGTAAAATTCTGGTTTCTCCTCTGATTCTAGTGTGAATGGGATCAAATGATGTTATCAGCCGAATTCTTGAAGGCTATCAATAGGTTTACTGTTTTCACACATAATGCTGTTGTCTATAAACCTTTATATAAATGGAGGTTATTGATTGTTAACCAAAGAATAGTATAGATTAGGTCAACTTCTGTTGCTATTGATTTGATACCCATTGCTAACATAGAGGTTTGTCATTATCACCCATTTGTTTGTTTTTCACAACGTTTAAATACATCATGTAAACAACTAAATATAACATTTTCACCTTTCTGTTTTTTTGTTGTGCTTCAAATGAATGCGTAATCAATGTTCGATAACCGTATTCTCAATCTTTTCATGATGGTCCAACACTTAAATATTTTATCATAAAACATTCTATGTGTTAAATAACTAGAAACACGGTTGTTGAAACCTCGGAAATGTCATTGTGGGAAAAAATGTTTCATTATCAAAATAACATGTAAGTTGAAAATTAAGTTTTACAAAATAAGACGAAAACTTCCTACCGATTTTATGAAGTTTATATTACAAGGTTTTTATTGACCAAACAATCGATACTAAGAGATAAATGTTTATTATTGTCACCGAACTAATTATTCACAATTATAACTCATGATACTTAAGTTGTTTGATGAGTGGATGCGCCTCATAGTCCAAATATAAGATTTGGTTTTCATACTATAATCAATATTAGTTTAAGTTGCACTGCATTACTACGATATTCAGAGACTAAATTATCACAGCTTAATTTGAAAACCTGAAGTTGATGATTTATTATTATACACAACCGTATACTATCATGAAATCCCTTAATATTAGTCCATAATAACTTGTAGTAAAAAATATGAATAGAGTACTTTGAGGAACTCTTGAATAGACCAGCTCCATTGAATCCACCGGACATCGAAGCACCACACACAGATCTTCCTATGGATGTCAATCCACCGACGACGGAAGGAATCAGAATGGCCATCAGACAAATCAAGAGCGGTAAAGCAGCAGGACTCGACAACATACCAAATGAAGCACTGAAGTCAGACATCGAAGTAACTACAACCATGCCTCACCCTCAATTCAAAAAGATTTAGGAGGAGGAACAAGTGCTGATGGACTGGAAGGAAGGATAGTTCATCAAGATTCCAAAGAAAGGAGATCTGAGCAAATGTGAAAACTACACAGGCATCGCACTGTTGTCAGTACCCGGAAAAGTCCTCAACAGAGTGTTGCTGAACCGGATGGAAGACGCAGTAGACGCCCGAATTCGAGGTCAACAGGACGGACTCCGTAAGGATAGATCGTGCACAGACCAAATCGCCACACTACGAATCACCGCTGAACAATCAATTGAATGGAACTCGTCACTATACATCAACTTCATCGATTGACAGTGTAGATAGAAGGACGTTATGGAGACCTCTTCGACACTACGGAGTTCCTGAGAAGATCGCCGACATTATCCGGACCTCATTAGACGGACTACAGTGCAATGTCGTGCATAGAGAACAAACCAGCTTCCAGCTGAAGAGGAAATTAGGAAAAGACGATGGGAATCGATAGGACACACATCACGTAAATCATCAAACTGCATCACGAGGCAAGCCCTAACCTGGAATCCTGAAGGGAAGCGAAAAAGAGGAAGGCCAAAGAACACATTACGTCGGGAATCAGAATCAGATATGAAAAGGATGAATTACAACTGGACGGAGCTGGAAAGGATTGCCTAGTACAGAGCTGGATGGAGAGTGCTGGTGGGCGGCCTATCCTCCTCCAAGAGGAGTAACAGGCGTAAGTAAGTAAGCAAAAGAGATGTTCAGAGGTAAAGCATTTTATCTATTCTTTAATAGCTCGGGACTTAATTCTTTTCATTTTAAATAATAACATTCAAAGTAATCTGTTGATTTCCTCCCATCTAAATTTTATTTGATTTTACGTCGTTAAGCGGTTATCACCGCAAACGGATAAAAAGGATTTTTAATGAGGAACTAGGTTTTCGAGAAATTTAATTCAAAAATTAATTATATTTACGGTTCACAATCACAAATCAGGCAGAAAATACAACTTTAATTTTCCTAAATGTTGGTTATTGTTGTCTTAGGCAAAGTTTTCACTTAATCAACATTCCAGTCAACCATAATTGAAAGTATTCTGGAGACTTTAATCTAAAAGAGCGAACCAGGAAGTCAACGAACAACATTTTCACAATTTAACTTACTCTGACAGGATGACAATCATCATGTTTTCATCATAATGGCCTTGATCGGCATTCACATATTCATCAAAAAATATTGAAAGTGTATGGTAGTTTATTGATCCACATACAACTATGTGCCTGAGAAGTGAAAAGTACGTGGAAGTCAATATCACAGTGCACCAGTTCAATATCTAAAGTTTTAATCAAGTTCAAAATTCACAAACTATTCGATAAAAGAGTCATTTTATTTCTAACTGAAGTTTCGATTTTTCAAAAAGTTTATCTATCTGTATATATGGTTAATACCGCTGTTACTCAACTCTGTAGATACTCACAAAATGACCAACACTTTAGTTTTACCTAGGTAGAACTCTTTAATAGTACTTTTATTTGTTAGGAAATATATTATTCATGCAATCCTATGTAAGTGTCTAATTCATTTTCATTTGTAAATATATAGGTAATTAGACACGGTGGTTATAACTGTGTGATCCGGCCGTCCTATCACTTCAAAGTTTATACGCTAAAAAAAGTGACGTAACTACATGTCATAAATGGGAAAGAAACAATTATCTCGTTAAATAAATAAACAAACAAGAATTAGAACCACCAATAATATCGGTATTTAACTAATACCATTAACGTTCATAAACCTCATAATGTCCAGGTAGTGTTTCTTCATGATAGCTGAGACTAATCATAAAAACTGAAATATTGAGTGTCATACCGTATAGTCATTTATTCGATAACATTTTAAGAACGCTAGAAAACTTGTTACATCAGTCACTACTTGTTTTATTTATTTGAATCCTTGTTCAATTAAGGGACTACGAAGATAAGCGACTAACAATCAATCTTGGAAAATAGCTTTAAAATTGAAAGTATGCAGGTCAACGGATTGAGACTTTATTTCAAGAAAATATTTAACATATATTAAAAGTAGAAGTAAACGTTTAGCGAATAAAGCACGGCCATTTATTTAGTTAACAGAGTGGGAATTACACAATGAAAATACAGCTACCCAGTGGTTGTCAATGAAGAAATATATGAGCTTAAAAAATGTTTGAGTAGTAATGTCTTAACTGTACACATAACTACACATTTAGTTACTTGTATATACAATGAAATCAATGCTATATGGTCTAATTAAAAGAAACTTTCATTGCCTAACAATGTGATATTTGTACCAGAGTTTGTGTATCAGACAAAATCATTCTCTATGTAAGATGGTTTGCGGATATTTGTATAGTTTGATAATAGTTTTCAAAACGAGGTATCTTAAACCGGAGAATCATTGAAAACCAGGAGATTTGTAGGAAATCAAACTGAATGCAAATCATCCATCTGTATAACTATGTATTCACCAATGACTCAGATATAAATTACTGAATTTTCAACAGAACAATGTGACATATAGACGTAGATTTTTGACTTCCTATCGATTGGTCTGAAAGTATCACAATTATTGCTAAACTTAAAAATCCTGGATACAATCATATTTGTGGCCCTGACTGCGCATGGTTAAGCAACTACAAACTAGTATAAAATATCTACCAAATATTCCCTGGTTTTCACTGATTCTCCAAATTATATCATTTTGTTATAAAAATTATATTTGAAAATATTTGAGTTTGGCCACTGAACCTAGAGGCTGATATTAATCAATTAAATAACCACCTGACTAAGATCTATAGTCAGATTAGATTTTATAACTATCTGATGAAGGTTTTTTGTCTCATTTATAACATTTACCTTGGTTACTATCAAAAATATTTAATTTCAAATTGATGTAAACGTGTTTATGTATCAACTTCAACACAGTTTAATACTAACGGTGTTACTAAACATTGCGAGTTGTCTGTCACATACCCAATAGAAAACCTACTGAAACAACAAGAGTAGAATGAAATGATAATCATGATGGTTAGATGAAAATAAGTCTAATTGGTAGAACAATTAATCATCACTCAATCAGTTATAAGCTAATTAAATTAATTATGTGGTAGGTACTAAATTAATAACAAAAATAACAGGGTTATCTCAACAAAGCTTCTTCAGTCTGATCTACCATGAGTAAATGTTAGGTCAAATAGGTCAACATGTGACAATTTAATTATATTTCATTAATTAATCACTTGCTTTCACTTGTTTTTAATATAAATCAACACTGAAACATGAAGGCCAATTAAACATATATATAGATTCTTTTTCGAGTTTAGATCGATAAGCACTTAATGCTAAAATAGATACTAGTGTATCTACCAGAAGCAAACGTGCTATAATAAAATATCGTACACAACGCCTGTCACTTAATAGTTGAATTCATGAGTCGATTTAAGCTAGACCCCTATGAAAAACCTGGAAACACTGGACGGCCGTTTCGTCTCAATATGAGACTCCACAGTAGCGCTCATCCATTATCCTGCTCTCAGGACTCGGACCTAGGACCTTTAGTCTCGCGTAAACGCCTAACCTCTAGACCACTGAGCCAGGATTCAGCTATGCTAATGTCTAACCTATCACTTAATTGTTACATAACTTTCCACCAAGAATGTTGAGTAGTCATGAAGAGAATGGGTACATAAAATTTCATACACTTTTTCTCTTCATTCATAAATTTGTCTAAAGCAAGAACGAGAAACGTGGTATAATAAAACCAATTCATTTATTTTGTGGTTTCCATTCTGTTGTTTGCTATCTACAGACAAAAATAATAATTTATACGAATATTCCTCAAGATTAGAACTAATAGTTTGACAGAAATTGAACGCCGAGTATAGAGAAGTCATTATATGTGAAAACTATATTTGAAATAATCTCAGCGATTGAAATTTAAATAATTCTAACGTTTCGTCCAACTAACTTGTCTGGACTCCTTTTGATTATTACCCTGAAGAAGTCCAGACAAGGTAGTTGGACGAAACGTTGGAATTATTTAAATTCCAATCGCTGAGATTATTTCAAATATACTTTTCACGTATAATGAATAATAATTATTATTTTATCAGCCAGTTAGCTACTCACATCACAGTTTCAAAAAAGGTCCCGTAAAGTTCTCCTATCAACGCTGTCAGACGCCTTCTAGTAGTCACGGAAACTGATGTATGGTGACGAATTCCATTCAGTTAATTGCTTAGCAGTGATCCGTAGTTTCTCTATTCGGTCTATGCACGATTGATTCATATGGAATCTGGCCTGTTAATCTCGAAAATTGCCCTATGTAACCTACGTATTACAATTTTGTTGGGTACATCTTTAAATGGTAAATGTATATATGGAAACTGTTTATTTACTGCCTTGACTGTTTTGTTTTATTTTCGTAATTCTGAAAGATTTATTTGTCTTAAAATTGGATTTATAACTGTAGAACCTGACGGGAACTTATCGGAGACAATATTCCTTGTTTAGTTCATAGAATCGTTCAATTAAAATTTTCATCAACTACTGATTTCTTGATTAGATCAATCAAATTCACCTAATAAACACTTAGTACTTTAATACAGTTTCGTAAATGTACTCACCTTGGATTGTGTTCCATATAAATCGCTTTGTTATATTGGTTATGTTGTTTAAATAATTCACTAAGTTCTGACATATGTGTTGTTACTGATACCTATTTTGTAAATGAAATTCAGCTTTAGTATCAGTTAAAATCAAGACCTTAAATTTAATCTTTATACGAAAATGAGAAATCATAGTAATTATGTCTTAGAGAGGGTCAACTTAACGGGGCTTTGAGGAATGACGTATAATTATTACAATCAGTGTGATTTTTTTCAAGTTATACGGTAATTGTTCCGTAAAAATCAGTTCCATTTTAATCTGTCAGTACAGTAGAAGATATCAACCCATTGACTTGTGTCAAATAGATATCTTTCTTAAAGTTTATTTATTAGTTCATTTATCAGAATGTAATTTAATCAGTAAGAATAATTTTAGATAAAATCCGCCTGGAGTCCCTCCGAGGGCTACTGCCGGTCCCAAGCCCGGATAAAGGAGGAGGGTTGGGCATGGGGTTAGCGTCCCCATCCCGTAGAAAACTAACTCGCTAAAAAAACGCTAACCAGAAAAAATTATTCAAACCTTTTAAACTCTGCCCTGGGAGTCAGAAGGTCTTCATTTAGAAGAATTATGACGCCTCATGATGAAAGCCGAATTCCTTCGGAAGTTACGAGGCCGATGCCCCTTCTGACAACCAGAGCAACCATTTATTTAGGTACATGGAATGTTCGTACAATGTGGGACACCGGGAGAGCCTTCCAAATTGCTGCAGAAATGAGAAGATACAACCTAGAGGTACTTGGGATCAGTGAAACACATTGGACACAAGTTGGACAACAACGACTAACTACAGGAGAGCTCCTGTTATACTCCGGCCATGAAGAAGAAAATGCACCACATACACAAGGAGTTGCATTGATGCTGTCCAAACAAGCGCAAAATGCACTTATAGGATGGGAATCTCATGGACCAAGGATCATCAAAGCCTCCTTCAAAACAAAGAAAGAGGGCATTTCAATGAACATCATCCAATGCTATGCGCCTACCAACGACTACAATGAAGACGCTAAAGATCAATTCTACAATAGGCTGCAGTCAATCGTCGAGAAGTGCCCAACAAAGGACCTGACTATTCTGATGGGAGATTTCAACGCCAAGGTTGGAACGGACAACACTGGATATGAAGACATCATGGGACGACACGGACTGGGAGAAAGAAACGAAAATGGTGAGAGATTTGCAAATCTATGTGCCTTCAATAAACTGGTCATAGGCGGCACCATATTCCCACATAAACGCATACACAAAACCACATGGACTTCACCGGATCATACCACAAAACCAAATCGACCATATTTGCATCAACAAAACGTTCAGGAGGACTATAGAGGACGTGAGAACCAAGAGAGGAGCTGATATAGCATCAGATCATCACTTGCTGGTCGCCAAGATGAAATTGAAACTCAAGAAGCACTGGACAACGGGGCGGACAATATAAAAAAAGTTCAATACGGCCTTTCTTCAGGATACTAACAAACTCAACAAATTCAAGATAGTCCTCAGCAACAAGTTCCAGGCCTTTCATGATCTACTCAATGGAGAAGGAACTACTGTGGAGAGCAACTGGAAGGGGATCAAAGAGGCAATCACTTCAACATGTCATGAGGTCCTGGGTCACAAGAAGCACCATCACAAGGAATGGATCACTGTTGATACACTGGATAAGATTCAAGAAAGAAGGAACAAGAAGGCAGCAATCAATACCAGTCGAACAAGAGCAGAAAAAGCCAAGGCACAAGCTGAATACACAGAAGTAAACAAACAAGTGAAGAGGAGCATCAGAACCGACAAACGTAAATATGTGGAAGATTTAGCAACGACGGCGGAAAAGGCTGCAAGAGAAGGAAACATGAGACAATTGTATGACACGACAAAGAAACTCTCTGGAAATCGCCGCAAACCAGAACGACCAGTGAAAAGCAAGGAAGGCGAGGTAATCACCAACATTGAAGAGCAACAAAACAGGTGGGTAGAACACTTCAAAGAACTCTTGAATCGACCAGCTCCACTGAACCCACCCAACATCGAAGCAGCACCCACGGACCTCCCAATCAATGTTGGCCCACCAACAATTGAAGAAATCAGCATGGCCATCAGACAAATCAAGAGTGGCAAAGCAGCAGGACCGGACAACATCCAGCAGAGGCACTAAAAGCAGACGTAGCGGCAACTGCAAGGATACTCCACATTCTCTTCAATAAGATTTGGGATGAGGAACAAGTACCAAAGACTGGAAAGAAGGACTTCTGATCAAAATACCGAAGAAAGGCGATCTCAGCAAGTGTGATAACTACAGGGGCATCACTCTTCTCTCAATACCGGGAAAAGTCTTCAACAGGGTATTGTTAAACAGGATGAAGGACTGCGTAGACGCCCAACTTCGTGACCAACAGGCAGGATTCCGTAAGGATAGATCGTGTACAGACCAAATCGCAACTCTACGGATCATTGTGGAACAATCAATTGAATGGAATTCATCACTCTACATCAACTTCATTGACTACGAAAAGGCATTTGATAGCGTGGACAGAACAACACTATGGAAACTTCTTCGACACTACGGCGTGCCTCAGAAGATAGTCAATATCATACAGAATTCCTATGATGGATTACACTGCAAAATCGTGCATGGAGGACAGTTGACAAAGTCGTTCGAAGTGAAGACCGGTGTCAGGCAAGGTTGCTTACTCTCACCCTTTCTCTTTCTCCTGGTGATCGACTGGATCATGAAGACGTCAACGTCTGAAGGGAAGCGCGGGATACAATGGACATCTAGGATGCAGTTGGACGATCTAGACTTCGCAGATGATCTGGCCCTTCTATCCCAAACGCAACAACAGATGCAGGAGAAGACGACCAGTGTGGCAGCAGCCTCAGCAGCAGTAGGTCTCAATATACACAAAGGGAAAAGCAGGATTCTCCGATACAACACAGCATGCACCAATCCAATCACAATTGACGGAGAAGATTTGGAAGATGTAAAAACCTTTACGTATTTGGGCAGCATCATTGATGAACAGGGTGGATCTGATGCAGATGTGAAGGCGCGGATCGGCAAAGCAAGAGCAGCATATTTACAACTGAGGAACATCTGGAATTCAAAGCAACTGTCAACCAACACCAAGGTCAGGATTTTCAATACAAATGTCAAGACAGTTCTACTGTATGGGGCAGAAACCTGGAGAACTACGAAAGCCATCATCCAGAAAATACAGGTGTTTATTAACAGTTGTCTACGCAAAATACTTCAGATCCGTTGGCCGGACACTATTAGCAACAACGTACTGTGGGAGAGAACAAACCAGATCCCAGCGGAGGAAGAAATCAGGAAGAAGCGCTGGAAGTGGATAGGACACACATTGAGGAAAGCACCCAACTGCGTCACAAGACAAGCCCTCACATGGAATCCTGAAGGCCAAAGGAAAAGAGGAAGACCAAAGAACACATTACGCCGAGAAATGGAGATAGACATGAGAAAAATGAACAAGAATTGGATGGAACTAGAAAAGAAGGCCCAGGACAGAGTGGGTTGGAGAATGCTGGTGGGCGGCCTATGCTCCATTGGGAGTAACAGGCGTAAGTAAGTAAGTAAGTAAGTAAGTAAGTAAGTAAGTAAGTAAGTAAGTAAATAATTTTGATAAATGAACTTCCTGCTCTTTAAGCTTAGGCTATTGGAGGTAATGATTTCAATGGTATTTTGGTTAACATTTTCAAGTTAGATATGTTCACGAATATATACTAATGAATCAACTTTATTCTATAAATGGTTTTTTTATGAGTATATATAGCAATAATTAATTATATAGGCGTAAACTTACAAGTGTTCCAATAATAACGAATATAATGAAAATACGACCTAAGTAACTTGTACATACAATATCTCCATAACCAACGGTAGCCAATGTTACAAGGATCATGTATAGGCAATCCAAATATTCAAGTTTTTGATTGTTACTTTCTGTGGTCCAAAAATTACCTATGTGTTCAAGCTACAAGACATACAGAGGGAATAATGTGATAATCGAAATATTAAATGACTGATATTCTCAATACCTGGTAGCAAGAAGGATTCAGGAATGGAACTAATTAGTAATAAGTTAATTATAAATAGATAACCATGACCATCAAGAAGTAAAACGGCTGTTCCCACTTCAAATCGTTTAGAGATTTTGTAGACAAACCTATAGTTTCAAAAATGTCACCTCTGGGATCTGTTCTAATTGTCTTATGACCAATCTGCAAAATACATTACTTTGACCAAAAATAGACAGCTTTAATTCATACATGAGATGTATGGATGACAACTTTAGAATCTGGAATAAAAATAGAGATTTCATTATCATGTTGGTCGTGTTCAGTAGCTGTCATCAATCTATCGAGCTCAAACTAGAATGAGAGGCAATCTCGGAATTACATCTTCTTAGTGTTCTAATGAAAAACAAACCAGAAGAGCCAATGAATAAATTCAAATGTATATGGAAAATCAACTTGAAATGAATTATATACGAGTTTTCATATTTGAGTCCTGTTGAGCAGGACAAAGAGCATGGTTCACTCTTCATACTTGAGGGCCAGAAGAAAATTTGTCGATGAAGACAAGTTATATAAACTATCCAAATACCCATCAAAAAAATGACTGCCCTGTCAAATTTACTGACAGTAAACTGAAGACAAATGACAACGTAAAAATTCCTATACAAAACCGAAGAAGACGTTCTCTATGAGTATCGACTATAAAAGGGATACTGCATCAGAAATCTTGAAAGCTGAATCTCAAGCACTTCGAAAAACTTTCTGTTTCGAAAAGCTTCGTATTATTTTTTTTTCGGTCAGTCTATCATTTGTGAATGATTCAAATGTAAATTTCTCTAAGTTACATAAATATACATCTATGAGGATTGCATCTCTTGTACATGAAAAACATTTGCTAAAAGCATCTCATATGGTTAGCAGATTAGATTTTTGAAAGAAAGGTGCAAAAGAATCACCAACTTTATTTAGGAGCATCTCATGCATTCTAGTTGCGTCGCTCCGATAAAATGATCTTTCTAAATCATCTATACATTCAAACGGGTGGGTTCAAATGGAGCATGTGATAAAAACATACACTCCAGAAGCTTTAGCAATTAGGAATTCAAGATTAAACACTATTTACAAAAACTTCATGCTTAATTTCTCATTTTACCATGATCTTAACACTCTTCTGGCATTTTTCTTACTCAGTATCCAAAATTATCATTCAGATGTTATTACCCACTTTCAATTCAATTTCCTTGTTTTCCAATTGAACAGTGGGTTTCTTTCTCTATATATCTTAGGTACTTAAAAATATATTTATGTATTGTATACAGTTTTTTTCCAAAACATTCTACCGTATCTTCCCTTTTCATTAACTTTTATTGTTGTCAAATTGTGAAACAAAATAGCTCATAAAACTATGATTATCATTATTAATATAACTTACAACAAATGCAATACCAGCTATAACAGTCCATGCAGCCAAGAGTTTAAATATTAAATCTACTATACGTATAGAACGTTCATGATTTATAATTCTTAATAATACTAATGATTCAGGAATTTTTGTCAGTCTGACGAAATACAAAAATCCAAGCACTGATAAGAAAAAAAGGGGAGGAAGAGAAAATAATTAATGAGTAACAATAATTCATTTGGTGTTGTTTTACTTATATCTTCCGATTGTTATTTAGGACTGCAATTGGTCAGTCTCTTGTTGGTATATGTGTAACCTGTGCGGATTATTTCGATATAGCCTTGAGTCATAAGCTTTCTAAGCAAAGATGGGTAGTGGATTCCACTGTTAGCCACTGTCCATCTTTGCTTAGATAACAATGATTTTTATTATCTTTTATATATTACTGACTAGACTAGAGTGAATTAGTGTTTCGGATACATTCATGCTATCAGTAATTACGAGTAAACTAACAAACATGTTGATTATTAACAATAAAACTCTTCAGGCTTTTTTCTAACTTTTTAGTATTCATCAAATGAACATGTCAGCACTTGAAACGATGTTGGTTATGGGGTAACTATCAAACATGGATAAAATGGGAATACACATAGCGTAATAAGTATCTCTTTTAGAATAGTAGTCCAGTGAATAACCCTTTAATGTTTATGTCAATGGGAATGTAACCCCAAATAAAGTTGGAACTCCAGTACAACTACAGAAGATCTGATATGTCAGAAATATCCCAAGAATATATTCTAGTAAATACCGAAACTGTTAAACATTTTGTTAGAATCTTTAAAATCACTTAAGGTAACTTACTGAAGTGATAACGTCCTGTAATAAATGTTGAAAAAGTTGAGAGTATAGTGCAATGATCAATCAGAGAGTAAAGTGACATCCATGTTGTGAATAAATCATTAGATGCGATAGCCTATACACGTATGTTTAGAATTTTTCCGTTAAATACGAAAACTCATTAAAAAAAAAGAATATTATATGCAAATTACTCGTAAAATAAACATGATGAGAAGATACAATTACAGCTCATTTCTACATAGAATCTCCATTGTTCTGTGAAAGCGATACAGAAAGTATTTTCTGATAAAATCCTGGAAAATGAGAAATAAATAACTGAGAATATTCAAACCTACTGATGTGCATTCCATAGGTATATGCACATACAAAGTAAACCTGATAAAGTTCTTGATAGTATCTAAAATCAGAAAAATAACAAAATTTTATAAGAATGAATCTGTTTATCTAATAAGTACAATTTACATATTCTAATTTAACCACGATTATGATCATCTCAAAACCAGTTAAACTCAAACATTCTGTTCATTAATGATTAGTACATCTCTTCTATGATCATTCTTACGAAGGGAACACGGTGAATTTATAACGTGTATGTGCACTACCGAGGAGTCACATACTAAGATCAAACAGCCATCCATTGCACCCAAATTTTTAGTGGTGGTTTAGTATTGATCAGTTCATGATTTCATTAAAAAAAACTCAATAATCTCCACAACCATATACTAAAAATGATGATCAATAAACATAGTGAATCATAAACAAGTCACATAAAAAGTACTTGCTGAATCTATTTCATGTAATTATAATTTGAAAAAGTAGTTAATCCACTTATCTGTTATCATATGATTCCTCTCACAGTCCATGCATAAAAGATAACATTAAAATGTACCATAAGTAATAAATCTCAGAATGTCCAGGGCCACAACATTTATGTCAATTGAATATGGAAGATAAAATGTATAACGACAGTGAATGCTTTATATGTAAGTTTAAAATTCGAGTAATATGAAGCAATCATTCAATAAATGAACAACAAAAATATAAAAATGGATTCACTAGGAAATAACTGCAAATGGTTCATATTCCCATTTCTTCACTGATTCCTAACATCTATACACTTATCACAAAATATCAAGATCATCGGTTTAATCTTAAGAGGAACGGGTAGAGACCAGCATTCTAGGGTATTAAAAAAGTATATGTAATTTGTTCTATATTCTGCAGTTTTCATCCGTTCATCTTTTGATAGCAATTCAAGATGAAAACAGTCTATAAATACAAGACTAGTGACATTCAGTACAACTTAATAATTTAGATAATGTGAGAGGAGATAACACTTTACACTTTATGCTCATTAGTTTTGAGAACAACTATTTTCTGACGACCAGTGTTCGTTAATAAAACATGTTTAGTTTGATTTAATACATATCAAATGAAGTTTTCTATGTTAGAATACAATAGACAAATGTAATTTGTCATAGGAATATTGTTTTATTGAGATCATGAATTGATCACCATTGAAAACTTAGAAATACTGGACAACCGTTTCGTTCCGGTATTGGACACCTTAGTAGTGCACATCCACGATCCCTTATGCGGGACTCGAACTCAGAACCTTCGCGAACGCTTAATCTCTCGACCATTGAGCCGGTATCCAACTGTGTTAATGTCTGACTTCAACCAATCCACTGTATTGTGCGATCATCTTCCATTAACTTTGGTGGGCAAATGTCTCACACTCGACACAGTTGAACTCCACCAGTCTCAGCTTCTCACTAGAACTCCGAGGATTCTCTCTCGGAGCTAGTCATTAGTGAGCACAGGGTTGTGGAAATTGTAGAGCTTTTTTATTTTTCATGGTCTAACAATGATCTTAATAAAAAGACTCAACAATTTCCACAACTCTATACTTATAGGAATATTACTTAGTATTGCCAGTGACATCGATGAAAATAAAATGAGCAATTTAAAAGGAAATTATGAGTGTAAACATACCAGAAATCTTCCAAATGCATTTTTTCCAGCTAATGTAGCTTTAGCAGATTTTAACAACCATAATGAATTCTTAAATCGTAACAATTTTCGAAGATTTTCTTCATCTACATTTCCTTTCTTTCGTCTTCTTTGAGATAGTGTAACTAAATAGATTAATAATGCTCCTATAAAAAATGTTCCTAAGCATATGGACAATAAAATAGCTGCTTGTAATTCACATGAATATTGATTTAATAATGTTAAATACATTTTTTCAAATACAATAAGTTAGTTACACATTTGTCTGTTTGAAATAAACAGTGATAACTTTTTATTTAAACAATAAAATAAATGTGATTTCATTTGTCATTTACTACTGAATTTAATGTCACTTCATAAACAATCAAAAAAGCACGAACTACTCACATGATTTTTAATATCAAGATCATATATGCACAATTAAAACATGTATCATTTAGTAATATATCAATTTATTATATTAAATTAAGGTCATATTATGTTCAGAAATACTGCACTATGGATTATCATTTTACAGGAATAGAAATAAACAGATAATTACTCGTTTAATATTTAAAAATAGTACTTTTTTTAATGATCCCCCAATCAATTTTGAAGGGAGTCAAATTAGAAAAATACATGATGTAAAATAATACATATTATGTAATTCTAAATAATATGAACACATTTTTAACTGAACATAATTTCAGATTATTGATCTTCAAAGTTATGAAGTAATAATTTTAAATCTTCAATGGCTGAGATCATGAGTCAATTGAAGCTAGACCACTATGGAAAACCTGAAAGCACTGAACGGCCGTTTCGTCCTATTGTGGGACTCTGATATGATGGGAAGAAAAATCAATTTTCGATTGATTGACTTATTACGAGTTTTGTCCAACATTACTTCCCTTCTAATTCAATGTGATGATTATTCAATGAAGTATTTATTTTCTTTTGTCGTATGATATTTTATTCTGTATAATATACGATATTCTTGTATCCAATGGACATGAACTATGCTCAGTATGTGATTTGTTATAACTCTAAGTATTTTTCATACATGAGATTTTATTCTAATTATTAATCAAAAATGGGTGTAAAATCAATATATAAGACAGTGTATTTTAGACTATTTTGATCATCGTCGTCGTCGTGTTTTGGGGCTAATAAATCATCACTTATACCAGTCTTTCTGTTCTTACTTTCACATCGTGGGAATTGCGGAGGTCCCTCGTTCCGAGTATAAGTGATCAGCGATTTTCTGTCACAACATTTGCGACGACCGAACACAACAGACTCCTAAGCAGTGCGCATTCACGACCACGCCCCGTGGAATTCGAACCCAAGACATGTCAGTCTCGCGCGCGAGCACTTAACCACTAGACCACTGGGCTGGCCGGCATTCAACAGTGTTAATGTCTAAATTATTTTTAAAGTATTCTATGGAACTACTATGCATGTTAAAATTGTCGTGTGTGCTACTGATGTCGACAGATATAAGTAATATGTATCATCATTCGAAAGTGAAATGCCTGGAGGTAGAATGTTAAGAACACCAAAGAAAAAAGAACGAGAACAGAGAATGATTGGTGTGGAAATAAAGGAACAATAAAGTTTGAGAGAATTAATGAACATTTTGCAAATGAAGTATTAACCGTATGGTTCTCAGATTTTACTAAGAGATTCTGTAATTTTGTGTTTTAATACATCCCCAACTGTATTCCCGTTCATCACAAAGTGATGTCTTCAAACACAATGATGGCAATTTATGAATACATGAGCACTTTGACTACGTCAAAATGGGCAGGAGTGCATTAAGCGATCAATGAAAATGTAAACAAAATATGTGAATTGGACTCGTTTATGAATACGGTATGTGATCATCGTGTTACTGTGCTTGCTTTAAATGCAGTTATTAATTAGAAACGTACCAACTGTTTGTCGAAATACTGGAGAATATAAGCATAATTTTCATCTATAGATAGTATTACTAAAAGAATATTTTAAAATCAAGAAAGATTAAAGGCCTAAACAATTGTTTATATAAAATGACTGATTAATATACGTTGTGAACCTCATACGCAATATGGTGGAAGGTTCAAACAAATATTTTACCCATTCTTTTATTGGACAATGATTTTGAAGAAACATGTAAAAAGGAGGATTTCATTAATATATGTATTCATTTGCAAAGTATTATCCATTTGGTAAATTTCCTACCGAATCATTTTCTTTTAAAACCAAACAATGATGAATATTTGTTCACACAAATATTCAGATAGTGGCCTATTTATAAACTGACCAGAGTGATGAAAGTGTTTATAAATAGGTGATATTTGCAAATAACATCAGAAATTCGATGTACAAGGAAACGATACTTTTATTTTATTGATCTGCCTTTACTGTTTAGAACCAAACAATAATTATGATAGACTGGTGCGGCCGGATACCACCATCAACAGCCTTCTGTGGGAGAGAACAAACCAGCTTCCAGCTGAAGAGGAAATTAGGAAAAGACGATGGAAATCGATAGGACACACATCACGCAAATCATCAAACTGTATCACGAGGCAAGCCCTGACTTGGAATCCTGAAGGGAAGCGAAAAAGAGGAAGGCCAGAGAACACATTACGTCGGGAAATAGAATCATATATGAAAAGGATGAATAACAACTGGAAAGAGCTGGAAAGGATTGTCTAGTACAGAGTTGGATGGAGAGTGCTGGTGGGCGGCCTATCCTCCTCCAAGAGGAGTAACAGGCGTAAGTAAGTAAGTAAGGTGTCATACAGATAATATCTCGTTATTATTGCAAATATATCAGCATATATTAAAAATGCGTTAACACAATCCCGTTGCATTAAAAGTTCAGTGGTTGTTTGGAGATATTTATATTATTTTTTAAGGCAATTGAGTCATGAATTGATTCCCGTCACAGAACCATTAAAAACAAAATAGCACTTAATAGTTGTTTCCTATTCGGTTTGAAATTTCTCATCACTGTCTTTTAGTTATTGTATTTGGATTCAGCGATTCATATCTTATTGAACGTTGTTAAATTCACAAAGTACCATATCTGTCATCTTACGTCATTCTATCAGTTACCATCTCATCTATGATACACCCGACCGCTGTTGCTACCTTGACGTGGTGGTCGGGCTTGCCTATCGTGATGAACCGATCGAGCTATACTGGCTAGAACAATCGTTCCGCAAGGTCCTACCATGTTAGACAGGTTGGTTGAAGAGTGGTAAGACTAAAAGCAACAAACCCAAGGTCCAAGGGCGAAGTCGTACTACTGACTGTACAGAGGTGTGATAGCAGTAAGGTGTTTCCTTCAGACAACCAGCACGACAGCGATGCTGCTTTCCCGCAAGGAGGGGTGGAGTTAGAAAAGGTTGACCCCAAAAATGCACACCTCGCCCTATCCCACGGATATCCGTCTCCGGCGGTAAGGTTCCAACAAGTACGGAGCCAACACAAAAATTACCCATAAAAAGGTCGTGTGTGACCGACCTAGAGCAGTTGTCCCTTGGGCATTGCGGTCACGCTCTCAGGTCCCTAAGACCACCTCTAATCCAATTTCCTTTTCAGGCACCTTTAGAAGGACCCTTCCACGGTGTGGGCGAACGGGAAGTGTTAACCGCCTTCATACCTCTAACAGCACTCAAGACCACTGTATTCATAATCAACCTCCCTCTTCAATTCCCATTATTCCTCCTACATCGACTTTCAACTCTAAACTTCCTCTTTCGGCTTCTTCCTCAAATGTCACCATAGCCAACGATTCTAGTGCTCAAAACACTGTCCCAGGTTTACTGAAACCTCGCTCCAAACTGCACATTGGAGCCTTCAACGTACGCACCCTATGTCAAATCGGTCAACAGGCCTCCTTGACTAGGACCCTAGAATCTCGTACCACTGATGTATGATGTGTCTCCGAAACACGTATACAGGATCCCAGTGTGGTTATTCACTTGACCTCACCTCGGCAACACGGAGAGCCGACGAGATACACCCTTCGTGTGTCTGGTGACCCGATGGCAAGTTCTCGTGGACTGGTAGGTGTAGGCATAGCACTAAGCATGAGGGCGGAACAAGCACTGTTAGTGTGGATCCCCGTTAACAGTCGTTTATGTGCTGTTCGGCTAAACGGCTCCGTAAGAACTCGGGAGGATAGGGACACACGTGGTTGCCTTTTTGTCGTTTCTGCCTACGCTCCCACTGACTACAGCTCAGATGAAGTGAAAGATGAATTTTACAGAAAGCTATTTGAACTTCTTCAGGAAGCTAAACGTTCAGGTATAGTGCTCGTAGGAGGTGACTTTAATGCCCAAGTAGGTAGCTTGAACCAAACAGAAAGACATTTAGGTGGGTATTTTGGTATTCCGGCACAAGGAATAGATAATGGTGATCGTCTGCTGCAACTGTGCTCAGACAATCGTTTATTTTTAGCAAACCCAAATTTTAAGCATAAGGAGAGACATCGTCTAACATGGCAATCTCCTACATCAAACCAACGATGGTAGAAGATTGTCGCCCATTCTAGAGTACCTTCTTGGACTCTGACCATGCCCTAATACGAGCACGCATCTGCTTGCGTCTCACTGGACGCAAAAAAGCCACAGTAAAAAGACCCATCACAACTGAATTGAGTAGCGGAAAACCAAAAGTAGGTTCCAGGAACAACTGAGGTCACACTTAGGTAGTTCTGAAAACGAGGCTGACCCAGATATTGCTTGGAAAGACATACAAACAGCTGTGGAAACAGCAGTGACATCTATCAGTGATTTAAACCACAGGGTTACAAAGAACCAATGGATTTCTTCAAGGTCCATTGCACTGATGGATTCTCGCAAACTCATCCCATCAGGTTTTGGACACGATGAAGAGCGACAACAAATCAGATCTAGGTTAAGCAAAGGTCTAAGGAACGACCGTGAGCAGTGGTGGGTAACGAAAGCAAAAGAGATGGAAAAGGCGGCGGCTATAGGGAACACAAGACAGCTTTACAGACTAATAAAAGAAACTGGAATTAATAAGTCAAGTGTAAGTGAGATTATTTCGGAAAAAGACGACACTCTCATCTGCTCTCAGTCCAGACGTTTAGAACGATGGGCGGAACATTTTAGAGAACAGTTCAGCTGGCCTTCAGCTACTCTACAACTACCCTCCATTCCCAGACAGTGTGAATGGAACATTGAAGTAGGTCCCCCAACTCTAGCTGAAGTTCAAAAGGCTATAGTTAATCT